AATGATAGCTGAATTATACATGTAAATATTGATTAGATTCTGGGATACAGAAGAAACCTGTCTTCATCTGTTCAGAGAGCTATGTTTTACTTAAGCTGTGGAAGTGAGATTCCTACTCATCTTCCTCTTCACTGATGTACAGCAGACATTTTTCTATAGGCTAATCCATAATCTAAACAGATTTTAGCCTCCTCTCCTGAAAGTAAGGCCAGCATTTTCTTTCATCAGCTTGATACAATACAAATTCTTATCCTAATAGTGAAATGTAGATAGTATAAGCTTGCCCAGTGATTGGGCAAAACCAAAACTTATTATAAGCCACAGTCATCCTAGGGTCCTCCCTACTAGGTAGCCTCCCTGAATCTGTGGGTTGCAGTCTGATTGTCCTTTGCTTTAGATCTAGTATCCACTTATGAGTACCTACCATGTTTGTCCTTCTGAGTGCCCAGCAAGTTTTTTTTTTTTCTTTTTTTTTTTTTTTTTTTGGTTTTTCGAGACAGGGTTTCTCTGTGTAGCTTTGGTGCCTGTCCTGGAACTCACTTGGTAGCCCAGGCTGGCCTCGAACTCACAGAGATCCGCCTGGCTCTGCCTCCCGAGTGCTGGGATTAAAGGCGTGCGCCACCGCCGCCCGGCCCCAGCAAGTTCTTAATTCACAAGATCTACACACAAAGTCTTCCCACTTAAAGCTGGGCTATAGCCAGGGAGGTGAGGCATGAGTAGGCGAGTAGGCAGCATAGTGAGACCCTATCTTAAAATAAAAACCCCTTTCTTTCTTTCCTGACCTCAAACTTGCTATGTAGCTGAGGATGGCCCTAAACTCCTGACCCTCCTGATTCCACTTCCTGAGTGTAGGATCCCAGCCTGTGGTTGTGATAAGCCTTCTGCTTACACTGAAAGGCTGCCTCCTAATCATTTCTCTTTCTCTGCCTTAGCTCAGGGGGTCTTGAGTCACTGGAACAGGGTCTCTGGTGCACTTGCTGTCACAAGCCGCTGGGGCCTGCCCAAGATTACTGACTCAACCCTTCTAGGAGAGTCTAGGAATGAGCATTAACCAAGTTTGTAGACAATGTTTTGAAGCTGATTGTTCAGGCCCTGAATCTAGGCTGCTCTGCCTTAGGCTCCTGAGAGTCCTAGGAGGGATGGGGGTGGGGTGGGTCTAGCAGGTTCCTTTAAGGAAAAGGAGACCCAGAGCCCTATGGAGAGGGTCAGAACTTGCTCCAGGGATGATGTCCTCGCTGGCTTGAAGATCTCCAGAAGAGAATGTTTGAGGATCCTAAGGAGGTAGGACTGTGATCTGTGTTCCTAAGGCTAATTAAGAATACCCCCGAGCCGGGCAGTGGTGGCGCACGCCTTTAATCCCAGCACTTGGGAGGCAGAGGCAGGTGGATCTTTGTGAGTTCGAGGCCAGCTTGGTCTACAGAGCGAGATCCAGGACAGGCTCCAAAGCTACACAGAGAAACCCTGTCTCGAAAAAAAAAGAATCCCCCAAGCTGGGTGGTAGTGGCACATGCCTTTAATCCCAGCACTCGGAGGCAGAGGCAGGCAGATCTTTGTGAGTTCAAGGCCACCCTGGTCTACAAAGCGAGTTCCAGGAAAGGCGCAAAGCTACACGGAGAAACCCTGTCTCGAAAAACCAAAAAAAAAAAGAATCCCCTGAGTTCCTTCTACAACCGACTATGGCTCAGAGGCATAAGGTCCACAGACTTACAAGAGGGCGTCTTTGCCATGAAGAGAGCTTGGCAGTGACAGATCACAGATCCTGCCCCTGCAGAGACCATCAGCCATGTCCTACATCTTAGACTCTCACTCAGCCCTTAAACTCAGAGACCCCTTCCGTTTAACTCAGATTTCTCACTTGTAAAGTTATGACAGTGACGATTGCCGTTGGATCTCCTGTCCCAGCCTCCCCAGCTTCCAGTGGCTGCTGTTCCTAAGGGCTATTTTACCTTAAATCCTTCTTGGTGCAATCAAGAGAATATTACTTAAAGTCAGGCAGTAGTGGCACATATCTTTAACTCCAGCACTCAGAGGTAGAAGCAGGCAGAAGTTTGAGTTTGAGGTCAGCCTGGTCTACAGAGCGAGATCCAGGACAGGCACTAAAACTACACAGAGAAACCCTGTCTCGAAAAACCAAGAAAAAAAAAAAAAAAAAAAACTAAACCGAAAAAAACTGCAATAATTTTAATTTACCTAAACGAGTGGACGGGTGGGTGGTCCTTAGATGCTGAAGACATAGTACTTGGAGGTCTCTTCCAAGTATTCAGAAACTCCCTAAGGATGTGTGGGTGTTTTTGCACACACACACACACACACACACACACACAATTATACAGTGTATGTGTGTGTATGCCATAGTTACAGACGAGTGCTCCACACCCCACTCTGCCTGCCTTGGAACAGACCCCTCATTCCCCACGAACAGGAAGAGTTCAGATGAGATCCCTGAGGGAGATGCTTCCCATCACCAGCAACATCTGGGCAACATCTGGTGAGCTATCCCAGGACAGGGAGATGCTTTTCTACAGAAAATACATCACTTATTTGATTATATATTTTTTCCCTTTAATCTCTCTCTCCCCCTGCTCGCCAGACTCCCTCACCATCAGGTTCCCTGCTCTAAGCCCCCCCCCCCCCTCCGCAGCCCTTGCCAACTCCCTGCCCTGCTTTCAGCCTTGTCTGGTTTCCTGGATACAGAGCTCAGCAGGATGCAAACCTGGGTAGCTCCAGAGAACCTCATTAACTCTAGAGTCCAGCCTTGCCCATCTCCCTCATCAGCATCTTGCAGCATCTTAGGCCAGGAATGTGCGGCTGGCTGGGCTCTCTGGTCCAGTGCTCTCATTTTATGCATTGGAAATAGGAGCTGGAAATGTAGAACAGCACTTCTAGGCACCATCAAAGCCCTCTTTCTGGGCCGGGGAGGTAGCTCAGTTGGTAGAGTGCCTGCCTGGAATGCACAGAGCCTTGCGTTCTATCCCCAGCACTATATAAAATCTTAAATGGTAGTACCTGACTGTCATTCCAGCACTCAGGAGGTGGGCAAAGAATCAGAAAATTCAAAGTCATCCTCAACTGCACATCAAGCTTAGACCAGCCTCGGGTCCATGAGATGGGTCTCCAAGACTAAAAACCCTTCTGCTGGTGACAGAGAAGGGATTTTAGTGAAGGCCGGTGGTGCAAAGGATTGCTTGGGCCATCAAGGGCTACAAACGTGCAGGACAGGGAGAGGCCAGCTGACTATCTGAGGGTGGGGATTTGCATGGCCTGGAGGGACAGCTGTGACCGCTCAGTCACCTCTAGAGACTGGCATCAGTTCTGTAGTATTTTCTGTTTGTTTTTGTTTTGAGACAGGGTTTCCGCTATGTATGTAGCTCTGGCTGTCTTAGAACTCACTATGTAGACCAGGCTGGTCTCCAACTCACAGAGATCCGCCTGCCTCTGCCTCTCGAATGCTGGGTTTAAAGGTGTGCGCCACCACACCAGGCCACGTTTTGTTTTGTTTTTCCCTGGAACTCGCTCTGTAGACCAGGCTAGCCTCTAATTCAAGAGATTCACCTGTCTCTGCCTCCTGAGTGCTGGGATTATAGACAGAAAGTACCACACCCCGGTTTATGTGTTTGCTTTTGAAACAAGGTTTCATATATCCTGGCTGGACGCAAACTGGCTTTCAACATGGCAGGCAATTGCCCTCCATCTTCAGCTAGCTCTGTAGTCTATTTCCGGAGCAGCCTCAGCCAGCACAGCTTCACTGTACCAAAGCTGAGTGTCAGAGACCTCATCTGCCCCCTAGACCCCAGATTACCACAGACGAAGGGCAGGCGTCACCCCGCCTGCTGTCTGTACATGTACACCCAGGACTGAAGAAGGGACCCTGCCATGATCTCCACCCTAGATGCCATTTAGGCAGGACACAAGGTCACCTCCCTGCTGCATCCGGGGGAGGGGAGAATGGAATCCTGAGGGTTGGACTAGCCACTGACAACATTCATCTAGGACAGACAGAAGAACCCAGAATGCAGTGGGAGCCGGGCTGAGGGGGAGGGTCCAGAGCTTCCAGAGAAGGCTTCCCGGAGGAGGCAGTCCACGCTGAGCCCTTCTAGGCGTAGTCGGATTCCCTCAGGTGAGAGCAGAGAAAGGGTGAAACATTCCAGGCGGTGCAGCCAGATGGAAGAATGCAAACGCTCTCGGTGCTGGGTCGAGCTGGACGTGCCGTGGGCCGAGGACGACTAGGGTGGGCTCCTGAGATAGAAGCTGACTGCTAGAACATACTTTCTTCTGCCCAGTAGGACAGGCAGTTGGCTGCGAGCCTAGGGACGGTCTTGGCGGGAGCAGGGGAGGCAGCAGGCCGCTCTAAGTGGCTAGGGTCCGGCCGAGGAGAAACCAGATTCTTTTTTTGTTGTTTGTTTGTTTGTTTTAAAGGAGGGATGGGGGTGGGGAAGCTGTTTCCAGCAATCTCTGCTTTAGGTATTGTTCAGGAGTGGGGGCTCTGGCCTGAGGGCAGAGGTGAAGGCCAGGCCCTGGGATGACCTTTTCCGCCTTCTCTCCTCATCCCTGGCTGGTCTCCAGTCTCGGTTAACTTTCTGCGGAATCTGGGGATGAGGAGGATAGGTAGGGGCCCGAGAAGGGTCGTCAGATTGGATTGATAATAGGCTGCCTAGGGCGGGCGGAGGCAGGGGGAGGAGCTCCCAGCGCTCGCAGCCTCAGTCTACCCAGTCTGCAGCTCGGGACTGCTCGGCGTAGAAAGGCGGGCATCTCTAGGACCCGGCTCTGCCCGGAGCTCGGCGATCGCTGGAGCCGAGCGCGGAGCAGCGGCGCCGGGGCCGGCGGGGTCAGAGTCCGCGGGGAGGCTCGAGGCGGGGGAGGGGGCGGCGCCTCCGGGGCGGGGCCGCGGGCTGCGGGCTGCGGGGCGGCCTGGCGGGAGGCCCGGCGTGCGTCAGCGCCGTGAGTCCCGGAGTTTTCCACTGACGAGGGGGGCGGAGCTGCGGGCGGGGCCGGGGCTCAGCCAGTCTCTCCCGCCGCCGCCGCCGGACGCGCAGACCTGGGTCGGCTGCACCGACGGCCGCCCGGCCGAGCGCACTGCGGGTCGCTGCGCGCGCTGCGACCCTGGGGCCGGGACAAGGGTAGCCGCGGCGTCCTTGGCGGGCGAGCGTTGCCAGCGCAGGTGAGTGCCGGGGACCCCGAGCGCGGCCGGAAGGGAATCCGGGCAGGGGGCGTCCCGCCTGAGCGGCGCTGTCACTCCAGTCCCTTGGCTTATCTCTCTTGGGTCCTCCCGCGGGCCCGCCGGGATCCGGCCGCCTCGCCTGCCTGGAGATCGCGCGCCCCGGGTGGGAGCCCACGGCTGCTAGGTGGGGGAGACCAGGCTTCCCTTCCCCTCCCCCGCCCCGCGGCTGTTACCCCGAGATGCCCAGGCGCCCCAAAGCCGGGTGCAGGTGGCAGAGTGGCGGGGTGCGCGTGCCCGCGGGTGAGTTTCCTTTTGACCTAGTTGCCTGAGAACTTTTCAGAAGTTACTCGCGTGGCCGGGGCAGGTGACATTGGTCGTCTTCCTCCTCCGGCTCCCTAGGGGGGGGAGTGCCGGAGCTGCGGCGTGTGCCGGGCGCCCCCGGCAGGCGGGGGTCAGGGAGGGTGTGGAGGGATGAGTGAGGCTTGGTGAGTCACGGACCCCGGGAGGGAGGAAGGGAGGGAGGGAGGGGGGCGGAGGATTGTGTCGTCTGTTCACCTGTCACCGTCACACGCAGAGGCCACTGCCGTGAGTCACGGGGCGCAGCTCCACCGGCCACCCGCGGGCACACGTAGGCTCTCTCCCACGCGCTTGTACTCCCTCTTCTGCAAGCATTTCATCTCCTTCCTCAGTTTCCCCTCCCCGGGGCCCTTTCGCCCTCACGCACTGTAGAAATGCCCACACCACAGCAACAGCCACACACTTAGTCACTCGGTTGCTGGTACAGTCACTCCCAGACGTAGCCCACATTCCTGACACCAGAGAATCCATCCCTGCGCTCTGGCTGCCCACCCAACACCTCCGGCCCGGAGTCTCAGCCCCTTTGCCGAGCGTAAGTCAACACTCCCCCCAAATCTTTGGCAGCCCCGCCCCCATCTCTCCGGCTGTCACTGAATCTGCCCCCTTTCTCTCTGCCCTCTCCTGTCAGTTCACCTGGCCCTGCCCTGTGTGTCCTACGGGTCACACCCTCTCCCGCCGAGGTGCTGAGGCATCTTTTAACCATGCAAATCTAGAATTGTCAGTCCCTGCTTACACCCTTGGGTGGCTTCCTGTGCCCTCGGGCTAACTAACACAGGCCCTCGTAACTGCACCTCCACCAGAAGGCGCGCTTGCTGCCCTTGCTGCAGCCCCTGGACCATGCCCTGTCCCCTGTCCGGAACTCTGCCAACGTCCCTTCTTCGGAGGGACCTGCCTTGCCCAGCTACCCTTCCTGCCCACCTCCTGTAACTCCAACTTGAGAGATGTTGGATGTAGGTCTTTTTTTTCCCTTGTGCCGGAAGTGTCCGCCCATAGTGCTTGGCATCTTTTGGAAGCTTAGCAAGAATTTGGTTGATAATGAATGAATGAATGAATGAATGTGAAGAACTGGCTTTGGGCAGAGGAAACAGTAACTGTCAGGTGCGGTATTCCTGAGTAGAACCAAGTATTTCATATAGCCAGCAAACATTTGGCACTTACCCAGTGCAGGGCCCTAGAGGCTGAATCGAAAGAACTGTCCCCTCCCCCCTGATCACTTTCTGAGGCACCGATGGGGGAGGGGCATGTCAGTGCTTCCTGTCTGCTGTGTCTTGAGCTGCCCTGCACTGTTTCCGTGAGGTCCAGAACGGCTTGGAGGTGATTTTCCCATATCCCAGGAAGTCCTTCAGGAGGGTCTGGAGTCCTATGACCCAAGGTGTTGGGGGTGGGGGCATGACTGATGAAGACCTGGGGTTCTGAGGTCAAAGGACACATTCTTCAGATTCCTGGAAGGGGGATCGAGGTAGCTAGAGGTGCCCCCTCCCTAGTACCAGCCCTGGCTGGGGGCTGGGGCACACGGGTGGGCTGAGACTTCCCACAGCTGCCCCTCAGTTGCCTGGGTGGAATGGCCTTCCCGGATTCAGTACTAGCTAGCTGTGGTCACTAGACGGGGGTGACATTCCGTTCTCTGGCCTGTCAGTGCCTGTGTGTGGTGGCAGGAAGGGGGAGGCCCCGGATTCTTAGGCTGCTACCGTCCCGGAAGGAGCCTGGTTCTCTTTGATTCCGGAGCCTGTCGGTGGTGTCTCTGCCTGAGCCAGCTCCTGGGAATGGCCTTTCGTTCCTCCAGGACCCTAGGACAGGACTCTGCTCCCCCTGGGAACAGGATCTTGATTCCCGAGGCTCTGCTGCAGCCCCTCCCCCACCCTGACTCACTGTCTGGCCCTTTTCTTGGACTCTTTATAGCTATCTTTCATTCCCCTTTCTGACTTGGTCTCTTCTCGTCTGCAGGGCAGTCTTCCTGTCCCTGACTTCTCTCAGCCTCTGGATCCCAGGTGGCACCCTTCCCTCCTCCTCAGACCCAGCCAGAGGTCCACACTCTGGAGCGCAACCTAGCCTTTCCGGGATGTTAACAGCTTTGGATGTGGACACTCCTCCTCCTTAGTTCTTATCTGGATATACTTGACTATGGATCCCTGTCCAGTCCACACCTCCCTCCCTGGCGTCTGTTTACTCTTGGGGAACGGGAGCCTCTGAGATACTCTCTCACACTTGCCTGCAGCCTGAGTGAACTTCCCTCCCCTGTCTTTAAAGCCACCTTTGAACCCTGAGCTCTGACCCTGGCTGGGGGATGGGCATGTGTCCCCTTCTTAAATTAGCTTTCAGGAGCAGGAGAAAGCCACACTGAGACCCCTGGGCCAAGGACTGTCTCTCTGTGGGGCTATCCTGAGCGCTTGTTTGGGCCAGGCTTACTGGGACTAGGCAGAGGTAGCCTAGCCTGGTATGAGAGGCCGTTATCCTGTGGTTAGATAAGGGGGTGCTGAGGGAAATCCAGGGTCTCCGAGAGCCATTTCAGTCAGTCTGGGCCGCTTAAACAAAATACACTTTTCTGTTTCTGGAAGTTGGGGCAACCAAAATCAAGGCCCCAACCTGGTAAGGCCCTTTCCTGGTTTGTAGTGGACACTGTCCTGCTGTTTCCTTATGATAGAGGGACAAGTCTGTCTATCAAAAGTGATTTATGTTTAATTTATGTGTATGCATGTTTTGCCTGCATGTAGGTCTGTGTGTCATGTGTATGCCTAGTGCCTTTGAAAGCCAGAACGGGTGTGGGATCCCCTGAAACTGGAGTTACAGAGGGTTGTGAGCCACCATGTGGGTCCTGGGAATTGAATTCAGGACCTCTGGAAGAGCAGCCAGTGCTCTTAACTGCTCTCTAGTCACACATACCTCTCTAAGGACTTGAACCCAGGGTTTTGTGCATGCCAGACAACTGAGCCATGTCCCTGGCCCTCAGAGGCACAGATACATGGCAGCATGTGTTTGTCATCCCAGCACTTGGGAAGTAGACATAGGAGGGTCAGGAATTGAGGCCATCTTGGGCTACAGGAGACCCTTTCTCATTCCAGCTGCCCATTATTTCCTGAAGCTCCCGCTTCCAAGGTCATCACACTGTAGATTAATCTTCAATTTCGGAGTATTTTTGTTGGAAAGTGTTTTATCCATAGCAGTACCTCAAAAAGGCAGAAGTGGGGAGCTTTGGGGATCTGTTTGGAGATGGCTTTTCGGGGGGAGGGGGTCTTACTTTGTAAATCAATTTGGCCTGAAACTCCAGGCAATTCTCCTGCCTCAAACGAGACTTTATAGATTCTAGCTATGACTTCTGGAAGGATGTAAGGCTGGGCTGTTCCCAGTTTGTGCAGAAGCCAGGGAGAGTGACAGGGACATGGCTCTGTGGGGAACTACAAAGAGTGTTGCTCAGCATGGGGTCTGCAAGGTGGCATTTCTGTTCTGTCATTCTGGCTGTGGTATAGGGCTGCGCAGGAGAGAAATGGGTGGGAGCAGGTGGGGGCAGAGACATGGAACAGGTGATAAACTCTGCGTGTGTGCCGAGAAGCCAGCTCAGGACTTTTCACACTTCACCACGGAGCTATACCATCAGCCCAAATTTTGATTGATAGTGACCTACATAGAATCTATATATACAGTACAGGAATGTCACAAATACAGTAGAGGAATTTTTAAACATTTAATGCCCATGCAAACTACCCAAGCTAACCTTGAACCATCATCCTGTACATCCCCCAGGACTCCTCACAACTGTCCCCAGCACACACCCCTCCTCCCACTGGCTTCCCTAGCCTGACTGTGGAGAGGGCAGAGACAATTGGTGTCCCCATCGATTGGTCCTACCTTCTGTTAGTCTGTATTTCCTGATGCTCTCACTGCTCTGCGTCTAGTCTTGTGAGTCCTAGAGCTTGTTATTTTTTTGCACACTCGGTGAGCGTGAATCACTGACGTGCATTGACGTGCATTGATTCCTGTCAACCTCCTAGCCCTAGAGGTTCTCATTTCTCCCATAGCTGAGGCTGATCTTGAACTCTCAATTCTCCTGCCTCCACCTCCCAAGTGCTAGGATATCAGGTGTGCACCACCCTGCCTGGCCTCTGGGGGCTTAAGGCAATTGGAGACAGTGATGTTAAGGAATTTTGCCAGGATCACCCAGCCAGTATCCAAGCCAGGGTCCAAGTGCAGTCAGTGAATTCTGGTCCTGGTTAGCCACTAGGATACCTCCAGAATCTGTGCCTAGCCTATCCGTGGGCTTCCAGGACTGAGTGCTGCCTGGATGTGGGTGCAAGAAGAGGAGGGGAGGGAGGAGTTGGGGGGTGACTGCAGGTTTCTGGCTTGAGCAACTGGGTGGGTGGCAGTGCTGTTACTAAGACAGGGAACACAGGAAGAGGAACAGATGGCATGGGGGGGTGGGGAACAGAGACAGGGTTCAATTTGGGGCCTGTGGAATTATGTATTTCCAGGGGAAGTGGGCCCTTGGTCTTGGGGTCTCAGAGATGTGCCTTTTGTCTTATAGGCAGCAACTGGAATTAGAGAAAAGGATAGTGTGCCTGCCCCCCATGCGTTAGACTTGTGGTGGCCGTGACAGGATGTTTAGAGGCTGCCTGTCAACTCGTGTGTATGCGTGCGTCTGTGGTCAGGGTGCCTGGCTCATGACCACACATCTCCTGGGAGAACCCACAGGTCAACTGGGCTGTTTGTGTTTGTGGTTTGACTCTGGGAAAGGGGGGTAACTAAGCCTGAGAAACTGCCCCGGAAACACCTGTCATCCTCATTCCCCCAGGCCCAGGGTGGGGACTTGGTCTGGTTCTCCCATGTCTGCCTGGAGGAGAAGGCAGGCTTCCATGAGTACTTTTATCCAGTGAGTGGGCTGACAGCTGGTGCCTTCAGAGTCAGGGACTTGCCGGAGAGGCTTGGCATAGGAAGAGGACACCTCAGTGGAGAAGACCCAGAGAGCTTTCCTACCCCTTTCACTTCCTGTGATGGTGCTGGGGGAGGGGTCCCCAGCTGTGGGCATTCAGCCCTGAAGGAGTGAGTTCCACAAGACAAACCAGTCAGTCCGACAGCAGGTAGCTGCACTCAGCTAACATCCTGAGTCCTCTGATCCCCAAGTCCTGGAGGGACTGTTACTGGTCCATGTACTGGGGGTCAGGGAAGGAGTTTCACCCCTCCAGCCTGACTGGTGAGTGATTGCACCCTACCAGGGGTCCAGAGAAGCCACAAGCAAGAAGGCTTAGACAGCCGCTCTCCAGGTCAGTTTCACTCACTGTTAGAGGTCTGGTTTTAAGGAGAATTAACCAACCATATTGGAGTAGAAGGCAAAGCACGGGTGAATTTTGAGATCAGAGTAAAGTGTCCTGCCTGCAGTTCAGCCTGGAGCAGGGGACTTTTCTCCTGTGGCATGGGGGTTTCTGAGGGAAACTCTGAGAAGCTCCATCCCAGGGAGGGGAAGGGCTTGGGGAAGTCCTGTCCGGAGTGGAGCCAATGTCAAAACCAGTTGCCTGCTCCCAGAGCGCCCGATCAGCCTGGCCCAGGGAGTAGGACCCACGGCTGTCAGTGGGCAAGGTGGTGGACCTGTGTGTGGGTTGCAGGGGTGCTGCCCTTAGAGGCAGGCTCTGCAGACTGCAGCTGCGGAAGACCCTGCACGTGCAAGCACACAAAGCTCACAGACTCAAGTGTCTGTGAGTCAGCCACCAGGATTCCTGAAGGATGAGCCAGGACAGGCCGAGTTCTGTCGGTCCATCTGTTGGTCTGTCCTGCCTTCTGGCGCTGCTGGTGTGTTGGTGTGTTGGTGTGTTGGTGTGTGTGTGTGTGTGTGTGTGTGTGTATGTGTGATCAGGGGCCAGGTCTTGGGAGGTCCAAAGGCCCTGGGGATTTGGATATTAAGAGTCATTTGATGGAGGGGTACTGTGCTGTCTGGTTCTGAGGACTCTCATGGAGATCCTACCATGAATCTGCAGCTTCTGGCAGGGCTGGAGGGCCCAGATGGAGTTTTGGGGGGATACCATGGAAGGTGGAGCCAGGGATGGGGAAAACATGGTTAGGCTGGGAGCTTGCCACTTAGAGTTCTCTTATTCTAATTCCAGGCCATCTGTCCTCAGCTCCTAGAGTCCCCTGCAGACCACTATGGCTGGGCTCCTGAAGAGGAAGTTTGACCAGCTGGAAGAGGACTTCTTCAGCCCCTCCTCCTCCTCCTCCTCCTCCTCCTCCTCCTCCTCCTCCTCCTCAGGCAGGTCTCTCTCTCTCCTCCTCCCCCGGTTCTTCTGTCTTCCCTGCCTGGAACTCAGATGAGGAGGGGACCAAGTGATCAGGCACCTCAGCCTGATCAGGACTCCTGTGGCCTCCAAAGTTTCACTCGTAAGTCTTCTGTCCTGGTGATGCCTCCCCCCGCCCCCCAACACCCCTTCATTCCCTAAAGGTGAAATTAGCCTTTTCAGCCTTGGGAGTGGCCTTGGGGATGTGGCTTTCTGTGAAGCCTTACACTGCCCACTATCTGGAGACACCTGGCCCTGCCTTGACTTTCCTTTGACCTTGGGAGTCAGGCTGTCAGGAATGTTGCTCCCCTAGGGCCCTGGGGCCTTTCTAAGGGGCTGCTCTTGCGTTTTTATTTCCGCAAGCACACCCTGGGCTCCCAGCACGCCCTGGGCTCCCAGCAGGAGTTGGCACCACACTACTGTCCCCATGCACATGGCCTGCTCAGCCGCCTCCCTCCTGTTTCATTGCTTTTTAGCTTTTTCTGAATGTTCCCAAAAGAGTTTTTCCTGATTGTTTTCTTTTCTTCCTTTTTTTTAACCTTGAGGACAGAATCTCATACCCAGGTTGTCCTCCAACTCGGTGGCATCTGCCCCCCCTAGTACAGGGATTGTGGATGTACTCCACCATGACTGAGTTCTTGGTTATCTTTTCAAACTTGAATAATTTTGATTGCAAACCGAAAAGATGGTCCTTTTTATTAGTTTATCTTTTATATTATATATTTTATATAATGTATATTTATATTTGTTTTTTTGAGACAGGGTTTCTCTGTAGCTTTGGAGCCTGTCCTGGAACTTGGGCTCTGTAGACCTTTGATACTCCAAGAACCTTTTTATACATTTTTCCCTACAAAGAGATTGGTTGTTTTTTGTTTGTTTTTCAAGACAGTGTTTCTCTGTGTAGCCCTGGCTGTCCTGGAACTCATTCTGTAGACCAGGCTGGCCTCAAACTTACTGAGATCCACCTGCCTGTTGAGTACTGGGATGAAAGATGTGTGCCATCACTGTCTGTCGAAAGGGAATGTTTTTACACAAGTTCGGTCTCACTATGAAGTTTTGAACATCATAGCTATTCTGTTTACTTTCATGTACATACATACCTGTGTGTTTCACACGCAGGCACACGCACAGAGAATATGATTTTTTAATGCCTAGAATCTAACATTGCCAACAGAAAGCCAGCCAGGTGGTGGTGGTGCACGCCTTTAATCCCAGCACTCGGGAGGCAGAGGCAGGCAGATCTCTGTGAGTTCGAGGCCAGCCTGGTCTACAGAGCGAGTTCCAGGAAAGGCGCAAAGCTACACGGAGAAACCCTGTCTCGAAAAACCAAAACAAACAAACAAACAGAAAGCCTTTTAGAATTTAGAATCTTCCTCAGATAGTTGAATGCAAAATTAATATATTAACTTGAAGTCACTGAGCATAGTGGCAAACACTTGTAATCCCAGGACTGGGGAAGTAGAGGCAGGAAGTTTAGGAATTCAAGATCTCCTGATATAGAACCAGTCACAGGGCTAGCTTGGGATACATGAGACCCCGTTTTGTTTTTAAGTCAGATATGATGGTGTATTCCAGTACTCAGAGGCAGAGCCTCGTGGATCTCTGTGAGTCTAAGGCCACCCTTGGTCGATGTATCAGGTACTAGGCCAATCAGTGCTACATAGTGAAACCCTCTCTCAAGAAAACATAAACAAGGGCTGGAAAGATGGCATACTAGTTTAAAGAGCATTGGTTGCTCTTCCAGAGGACCCACATCAGATGGCTCACAGCCACCTGTAACTTGCACTAGGGACCTGACACCTTCTGAACTTCAAGGGCACATGCTCGACAGGCCTATACTCACACACGCACTTGTTAAAAGTAAATAAGTTTAAAAGAAACAAAAACCGTTAGTACCAGTGAGGTGGCTCAGAAGGTAAAGGGCTTGTCATCAAGTCTGTTGACTTGAGTTCAATCCCTGGACCACACATGGTGAGAAAACCAACTTCTACAACTTGTTCTCAATATGTAATCAATACCTTATAAAGACTTTGTAAGTCTGTTGCAGAACACTTAAACTACAAAGGAGAACATCAATAAGTCGTTTTTAGAATGTATGTGTGTATTTTGCCTGTGTGTACCGTGTGCATGCTATGCCAGAGGAGGCCAGAAGAGGGCGTTGGATCCCCTGGCACTAGTTAGGTGGGTTGTGAGCTGCCACGTGGGTGCCAGTGCTCTTAAGTGTTGAGCCATTTTCTCCAGTTGCTTGATATATTTAAACATAGAATTACTGTCTTTATTACATGTAAAGAATGCTTAGCAAAAGAGCAAAAATTACAGACAACTGTTACTCCTTGGTAATAATGGCCAGGTGCTCCATCTACAAATGCGGCCCTTTGGACTGATAAATGACAATCAGCCAATGTTGACTGGGGTGTGGCGTTCAGTTTCACCAGCTCCAGCTCCAGCCAGGCTGGTGGGTGGATAGAATGGACGGGTAGGCGTCTTCCTAGAAATCACACCGCACCTCAGAGACTCATTCTCTGCGCCTTTCTTGTCCCTTTCAGCCCCGTCCATCCTGAAGCGGGCTCCGAGGGAACGTCCAGGTCGTGTAACCTTTGATGGCATCACTGTCTACTATTTCCCACGGTGCCAGGGATTCACCAGTGTGCCCAGCCGAGGTGGTTGTACCTTGGGTATGGCTTCTCGCCACAGCACCTGCCGCCTTTTCTCTTTAGCTGAGTTTACAGAGGAGCGGGTCAAGGCTCGGCGTGAGAAGCTCCGTCAGCGCTTGAAGGAGGAGAAACTGGAGATGCTGAGGTGGAAGGTACGGAGACCCATGCAGCTCCTGGAGTCAGCTTGCACAGTACTTGTGCAGAGAAACGGGCCTGTGGTTGGTGTTGGGGCGGGGGTGGGGTGGGGTGGGGGGTGGGGGGGGCATACAGAGAGGGTTCAAGGGCTGGGGCTATAGCTCAGGCAGATAGAATGCTTGCCTAGTGTATAGGAGGTCCTGGCATCCATTACCAGCACCGCATAAACCAGGCATCTTGGTGCACACCTGTCATCCCAGAACTTGGGAGGTGAGAGCAGAGGAATCAGAAGCTCGAGGTCGTCCTCGGCTACACAGGCCAAGGCCCTGTCTCAGGAGACAGAACAGTAGGCGGTTTCAGACAAGGGCCAGGCCTGGGGCCTAAGGCTCGACTCTTCCCAGACTTAGGAGGGCTGGAGACTGACCTGACATTGCCGGTATGTGTATCTAGTTAGAGAAGGGTTTTGTGTCTGACGTAGGGTGACGCATATGAGATCTGTTCAATACCTCACTCTCGTCCCCTGCCTGTACATGTAGCTTTCAGTGGCTGGAGTTCCGGAGACAGGGGCAGGCCTACCCCTCACAGTAGATGCCATCGATGACGCCTCTGTAGAGAGTGACTTGGCAGTGGCTGTCGCTGGTGGCCGCTTGGAGGAAGTGAATTTCCTACAGCCCCATCCACCTCGGCAGCGGCGGGCCCTGCTTCGTGCTTCGGGTGTTCGAAGGATCGACCGGGAGGAGAAGCGGGAGCTGCAGGCGCTGCGCCGATCGCGGGAGGACTGTGGCTGTCACTGTGACGGCGTCTGTGACCCCGAGACCTGCAGTTGCAGCCTGGCCGGCATCAAGTGCCAGGTGTGTGGCTGGAGCGGGTGGGGTAAGAGGGTGTGGCTGTTAGGTTCAGGGTCTCTGTGTTAAATCCCTAGCCCACCACCAGAGCGAAACCATCACACACCAAAAAAAATCTCCAGATGTGGTGGCACACACGCTTTTAATCCCAGCACTCTGGGAGGCGGAGGCAGGCAGGTATCTATAAAGTCAAGGCCAGTCAGGGAAAGCAAACCAAGCCGGGCATTGATGGCACATGGGGAGGCAGAGGCAGGCATATCTTTGTGAGTTCGAGGCCAGCCTGGTCTACAGGGTGCGTTCCAGGACAGACACCAAAACTACACAGAGAAACCCTGTCTTGAAAACAAACAAAACAAAAAGCAAAACCTACCGGATTGGGTGGGGTGTGGAGCCGGGTCTGCAGGCTTCTTACACCCGCAAAGTCCTTACTTGTGCACTGTCTTCCTCTGCAGATGGATCACACATCATTCCCCTGCGGCTGCTGCAGGGAGGGCTGTGAGAACCCCAATGGCCGTGTGGAATTCAATCAGGCAAGAGTTCAGACACATTTCATCCATACGCTCACCCGTCTGCAGATGGAGCAGGGTGCTGAGAGCCTGGGGGATCTGGAGTCTCCCGTCCAGGACAGTCCCAGTGAACAAACCCTGGTTTCCCCTTTTCCGCTGGCCACGCCCCCTGTGAGCCATGAGCTGGGAGATAACAGCTGCAGCAGCGACATGACCGATTCTTCCACATCCTCGTCCTCCGGCAATAGCGAGGCTCCGGACCACCTTGCCCAACCCAGCCTGCCAGGTCCCAGCTTCCAGTCTGGCGTGGATGAAGATAGCCTGGTGCAGATTCTGAATTTCAGTGACTCTGACCTTGGTGTGGAGGAGGAAGAGGAGAAGGAGGAAAGGGGTGTGGGCGACTTGGATAACCTCAGCTGCTTCCATCTGGCTGACATCTTTGGTACTGGTGACCCCAGCAGCCTGGCCAGCTGGACTCACAGCCAGTCTGGCTCTAGCCTTGCATCAGGCATCCTAGATGAGAATGCCAACCTGGATGCCAGCTGCTTCCTAAACAGCGGACTTGAAGGGTTGAGAGAAGGCAGTCTCCCTGGCAGTTCTGGATCCCCTGGGGTGGAGGCCATGCAGAGTGGCTCTGTGGACCTCAGCTTATCCTCCTGCGACTCCTTTGAGCTGCTCCAGGCTCTGCCAGATTATAGTCTGGGTCCTCACTACACTTCCCGAAGGGTATCTGGCAGCCTGGACAGCCTTGAGGCCCTCCACCCTTTGCCCAGCTTCTCTCCACCAAGGGATGCCAGCACTTGCTTCCTGGAGTCTCTCCTGGGCCTGTCAGAGCCGGTTACCAATGTCCTGGCACCCCTTCTGGAGAGCCAATTTGAGGACACTGCCTTGGTACCTCTGCTGGAGCCTCTGCCAGTGTGAGGACTGAGGTGCCGTCCCTGCCCCCCAGCCCCGTTGCTGCTTTTTGTGTGATTTTGGGGTTCCCCAAGGTCTGTGTATGTAACGGTCTCCCATGGGCTGGTCCTGGCCACGGGTGCTAAATGCACCCTCTTATTTTTACATTAACACTCTGAATTTATTTATTTTTTTATTTTTTTATTCTGTACTAAAGAGAAGGTGGAGAGGGGGACCCCTCTCCCAGTGCCTGGGCTCTTTATATCCACGCAGAGGTCTTCCACCCCCCAGTGTGTGCCAGGAGGAGGAAGAGCAGCAGGGCCCTCCTTCTGCCTCACAGACGTTCTTCGGCACTGGATAGGTATGCTCCTTGGTCCAAAGGCAGTGACAGGGCTGAAGTCCGGGCTTGTGGCTTCCTGTGAACCATGGGAGCTAGATCTTCTGGACTGTGAAGATGTAATTTATTTCTGTAATTTATTGGGGGACTGTGGCATCAGTGGCTGAGCCTCTCTGGCAGGTGGGCAGTGTTGGGGCAGACTCCCTTCGGTGTACCCTGCCTGTCTGGGCTTTGGTGTGGACTGTGTGGGTTTGCGCCTGTGATCTATGTCAGCTGCCTGGCTCCTGAGCAAAACCCCTTTTGCCCTTGCCCGGCCACGCTGCGTGCCCTTTGCCCGGTTCCCTTTTCCCGAGACCATGGGTATAGCACCCCTCCTGTAGGATGGGAAGCCAGAGGCCCCAAGATGGGCAACAGGCCTGCCTCAGGACCTGAAGCACACCCCATAGTGCACCCCAGATCACTGTCTCAGGGCTTTCTGGGCACTGAACTCCATCCTGGCCCACCATATGCCCCTAGGCCAGTTGGCAAGGGGTGGCTCTTGAGGGCTTTTATGCCCTTCATTAGCTGATGTTGAATTTTGTATGCATTTTTATATTGTCTCTAAGTGTCAGAACTATAATTTATTCATTTCTTTGTGTGTGCGTGCCAAGAAACACAGGCTCTGGGCCTGCCTCTTTGCCCAGGAGGCCTTGCCAGCCTGTGTGCTTGTGGGAACACATTGTACCTGAGCTGTCAGGTACCAATAAAGACGCTCTATTTTTAAGTGTGGTCTCCTTGGTGGGGTGGGGAGCATGGTGCACCCCCAGGAAGCAGTGGGGTGGGACCCTGCAGGGTAGCGTGGACAGCCGGTGGCTGTGCTGAGAGGCAGGAGGGACAGCCGGGTGGCCTTCCTTCCAGGCAGGCCAGGCAGCCTGCAGGCAGCCAGCTGAGGGGTTGACTGGGAAATGAAACAGTGCTCCCCCTAGATTAACCCATTCCTCGACAATGCCATCTGGGGTGCAGTGGGGAGTGACAAGGAGGCCGGGCTGTCAGCTTGGGCTGGGCCAGGGCACCCTCCTTGGCATACATACACACTGGTCTGGGCCCTGGCCCAGAAGCTATAGTCACTTGTGGGTCCAGAAAGAGCAGGGCAATAAGATGTGGCTAGTGGAGGCCTGGCCTGGTGACAGGCCCCCACAGCTGTAGTCCCTGAGTCAGCTGGGGACCTGAGCTCTGGAAGTGTCTACTAGCCAGACCTGTCAGACCTGTCCCCAGGCAGCCAGATTAGGCCTTAGGCCAGCAGTGCAGACCAGGCAACAGCCTGCTCTGGGGAACCCCAGCCTGCATGATAGGGAATGACCACAGGCACCTCTACCCAGAAGGATGAATTCAATCTGAGCTCTCACTACCTAGTGAGGGGACTGCAGATTACTCGCCTGGAGCCAAGGGTTTCTCCAACGGCCTGCATGATTCATACGTGTGCAGCCCCTTGAATGCCTGGGTCATGTGTGTATAAACCTGTGAACACACTTGGATACCCATTCTGTTTCCATGTTTGTCTCTGACCTTTGCCTTTTAACAGCCATGCCACTGTTTAGGTAGCTTTCTTTTATTCATGGACATGACCTCATGGCTACATCAATGACCCCCAGAGGACTGAGGCTTGGATCACTGCCTGTAGGGGCCACATGTCCCGGTGACTGGCTTAGCTTACTTGACTTCCTGGTACATCCTGTTGTCCTATCTCCTCACCCCTTTCACCAGGGCCTGGAGACCCTTGTGCAGAGATCGCTCCAGCATGCAACATCCGTGTCTCTTCAAGGGTTCTGAGAGCCTTCTCTTGACAATCTAGGGTGCCTGGTGACAGCCCAGTGACCCTAAAGGCTCCTCCAAAGACTCAGTCCTTGGTCAGACTGAGACCTTTTTAACTCCCATCTAGAGCCACAGGGTCACTTCAGCGGAGTTTTGTTGAGATAAATGGAGACAGATAAAACATGATTACATCTGTCTCTTTACAGCACCACTTCCAAAACACAGACCTATTTCCTAATAAACCTGTCCCAATGAAACTGTTGTAAAACATCATAGAAAAGGGAACTTAAGCGTCCCTATAGGAGAGAGGGGAAATATTCTAGATCCATGCATGTGATCAGCAGTGTGTTACAGAAAGGACAGGGCTGGGATGGATTATTAGCCCGGCATCCTCAAGGCCCTGGGTTCTAGCCCCAGCACCAGAAGAAAGATGGAAAACAAGACTTAGCAGTCATCTAGGCAACTAAAGTTCTTTCTAAAACTCTCTTGAGTGGCTGAGGGTGACCTTGAACTCCTGATCCTCCTTCCTCTACCTCCCAAATGCTGAGATTATAGAAGTTGTCCCAACACACAGGTATGTACACACACATACATACACACACACACACACACACAACCCTCCTGCTTTGAGACAAGGTGTCATGTAGGCCAAGCTGTACCTCTTTGTTAAGCCCCACTTCGCAAGTGCTGGGATGGTAAGCCATCCATCGCCACCACACAGCTACATTCTTCCCACACTAAGGCCTTTATTTTGAGACTACTTTATTCATTATATTTTATTAGTCATATTTTTATTTTGTGTATAAACATGAGTTTACACACACCACAATTCTTGTGTGGCGGTCAGAGTACAGCTTCTGGGAGCTGATTCTCTCCTTCCACAGGGTGGGACCCAGGGATTCAACTCAGATCATCAGAGTTGGGGACCTTTACCTGCTGAGCTATCTCAGCAGCCCCAGACTTTTGTCTTGAGACTGCAACTGGCTGTGTAGCCCTGGCTGTCCTAGAACTCATTCTGTCCACCAGGCTTGGCCTGGAATTCAGAGCGCCACCTGCCTCTGCCTCCCAAATTGTGGGATTAAAGGCGTGCACCTCCAGCTGAGATCTATCCTTTTCAACAGCTCCCAAGAATTCCTAAATGTGTTGTGTTAGCTATTACGTAAACATGGATAAGCACATCGTCATTCAGTTTAAGGTAAAAGGTGTAGTTCAGGAGTACTGTGTACCTAGGGAACATGAGACCCTCACTTCCATCCCATTACCATAAATACTTTCTAGCTATTACTGCAAAGCATGACTCAAGATTTGGGAAATAGAATCTTTTTCTCTTTTGAGACAGGAGTCTTACATAGTTCAAGGTAACTTCAGATGATGTTCGGATGACCCTGACCTTCTGATTTTCCTGCCAACACCTCCAAAGTGCTAGGGTTCCAGGTGTGAACACCATGCTGGTTTATGTGGTGCTGGGGGGTCAAACTCAGGATTTCATGCAGGCTGGGCAAGTGCTCCACCAACTAAGTCACACCCCTATCCAGATCTAAGAGTGGAGCATTGACACCCAGAGAGAGTGAGCACTTGGGAGGGGCAACATGGTGCGACCTTAGGCCTCCAGGTGCCCAGTTCAGAGTTCCTTCCCCTGAGGCTGGACTGGCCCTTAATTCCATCCTGAGAAACGGAGAGTTGTACTGGGAACCGAGCAATGGTGAGTTCTCTCACCAGGCACAATGACCATTAGCTACCTGCACTGCACCTGCCCCTTTAGGCATTAAATGGGATCCTGGAAGGTGAGCCAGCTGGCCAATATCTTTTACAAAATTCCAAGCGTGGTAATTGTAGGGACAGGATGGGGCTCAGTGGTACTGTGCTTGTCTCAACCTGGTGAGGTCCAGCTTGGGGGAGGTGGGTGGGGACACAATGTCCTCAGAGAGGACAATGGGCCTTGAAAATCTGTTGACCCTCTTGCACAGGGCCTTAACTTGGGGTCCTTCTGCAGGTGATTCCCCTGGTCTGAGCCTACTGCCAGGGCAGACTCAGTGGACATCGTGGGGTGTGGGGAGGGGCAGTCGCTTCTCTAGTTCTGAGATACTGGGGACAAGACTGGGGCAGGGGACACTTGAAATGGCTCTAGGGTGCTTTTTCCTAGCCATCATTCCACTGGGAGATCTCTGTTCTGTTTCTTCAAGAGTCTGGAACAAAAGTGGGGTCCGTGAGGAAGGTCCCAGCAAGCCCTGGCATAAGCTAAACTGCTGTCTTCCTTCCCCAGGAAAAACTGCTTCTTAGGCCTTAAAAACATAAGGTTTCCAGACACCCTCAGGTCAGATGAAACATGAATCCAAATAAGCCACAGACAATACAGAATGGCGAGAATATGTCATTTTCCCAATTCTTTCTCCACTGATCCACTACTTCCTACTCTCCCCATGGAGCGTCTGTAGATGGATGGCTTCTACCGGCTCAAGCCCTTTCCAGCCATGGCTAGAGCCTCAGGGACCCTTGGGCTTTCTCCAGAATTTCCTCTCTGATCTTGGGGTAGTTGGGGTGCTCCGTCAGGACCTGGTACAGAGACAGATGAGACGTGCAGAACCAGGCGGGGGCCCTGCACCACCCCACTCTTGCCGGTGACTTACACTGTGACAGACTTCGATGGCATCTACAAATTTCTTGTCTTTCAGGTAGTTGAAAGCCAGTTTGAAACCTGTCCAGAGGTAGGAGGACACCCTGGTAACTGGGGAGCCCTCTGGCCCCCTCAGCTGCCAGGACACAGGATTGGGCACTAGGATGAGGGCACTAGCCTCTGGGTACCTTGGCCGGCTGCTTACCAATGGCAGGGCTGGCCTGATGACTGTACTTCCAGGCCAGCTCATAGTTGGTGGCCGCGTCCTTGTAGGACTGCTCCTTCTCCATGATGAAGCCCATGTACTCATAGGCCTTGCAGCAAGACTGCAGGGGAAGCCGGTCAGCACAGCTGCCCCAAAGCAGCCACCGTGGTCCTCAGGGTGGGACCAGGAGGGGCAACTGGATGGCAGTATTAACCCCAAAGAACACAGGGACCCCCAAGAGCACCCTCAACATTTTGACGGGTTAATGTGTACCCACTCCTTACTCAAAAGCTGGCACAACCCCCTCTACTGACATCCCATCTGTCGGAAGCTAATCCTTGTACGTCCCTCAAGCCCACCGACCCCTCTCAAGCCTCTCAGGCATTCTGTTCCCTTCTCTTCCTGGCTACGCCTCACCCCTATAAGCTTGCCTTCTTCCTTGGCCTGTGGCTCCTGGTTCCAGGCCAGGTTTGCCGCCACCGACTTGTCTCTCTGACTCCGCCTCCTCCCACCATGCTCACACCTCCTCTATTCTTCCCAAGGATCCTTGCCTTGTTGAACTGGAGGCAGCGGCGGAGCAGCTCCAAGGCCAGGTCAAACTTGCCGCCTTGGCAGTAGATGTCTGCTAGCAGAAGCCAACTCTTTTCCAGGTCTTCGGCCTCATCCAGTGTCCACGGGACCTTGGCCAGACGCTTCAGCTGTGTACGGGCCTTGGGGACTTGCTTCAGTAGCATGTAGGCCTGTGCCATGGCCAGCAACGCAGGGACACTGTCCTTCTGCACACCCATGGGAGCAGGCATTGGGACACTCTGTCACTCCTATCTTGACCCCTGCCCGCCAAAACCCACCCCTAGCTCTCGCACCTCAGCCTGGGCCATCTCGATAAAGGCACCCAGAGCCACCTCCACATTCGCCTTCTCCCTGGTGGCCAGCAGGCAGAGGCTCTGCAGCAGCCGCAGCTGGGTCTGCCCGGAGTCAGAGTGTGGGTAAAATTCCCGCAGGAGCTTCTCTGCAGTGCGCACCCCGTGCTGCTGGGACTCTTTCCGACTGGCAGAGCTGTGGGCGTGGGACTTATGCTGCCAGCCTGCTTGTGTGGCCCTCACCTGGCCTCCGCCCGGAAGCTGAAGCCTCTTTCCACCCCCAGCCCTCTTACTTGCTGTCAGCCACCAGGCTCTCAAAAACCTCTCCACCGACAACCTCGTTATCAGGGTTCAGACAGATCTGTACCATGTAGCAGGTGGCAATCTGGCCCCAAATGCTGTCCTTTCGGGCTTTGTTCAGAAACCTCAGAGCTTCATTGGGCTGTCCAATGTGCCTTCAAAGAATGAAGGAAATGCCAGGAGCTGGTAAGAGGAACTGTATAAGGCCGGGGCACATGGACACCAGGGTATGTGGACACCAGGGCGCATGGACACCAGGGCGTATGGACACCAGGGCGCATGGACACCAGGGTACATGGACACCAGGGTACATGGACACCAGGGCGCATGGACACCAGGGCGCATGGACACCAGGGCGCATGGACACCAGGGCGCATGGACACCAGGGCGCATGGACACCAGGGTATGTGGACACCAGGGCGTATGGACACCAGGGCGCATGGACACCAGGGTATGTGGACACCAGGGCGCATGGACACCAGGGCACATGGACACCAGGGCGCATGGACACCAGGGCGCATGGACACCAGGGCGCATGGACACCAGGGCGCATGGACACCAGGGCGCATGGACACCAGGGCGCATGGACACCAGGGCGCATGGACACCAGGGCGCATGGACACCAGGGCGCATGGACACCAGGGTATGTGGACACCAGGGCGTATGGACACCAGGGTACATGGACACCAGGGCGCACGGACACCAGGGCGCATGGACACCAGGGCGCATGGACACCAGGGCGCATGGACACCAGGGCGCATGGACACCAGGGCGCATGGACACCAGGGCGCATGGACACCAGGGCGCATGGACACCAGGGCGCATGGACACCAGGGCGCATGGACACCAGGGCGCATAGGGAACACTTGCTCAAAGCTGCTCTGCTGGATATCTGGTCTGAAGGTTTCCTGGAGGCTGCTTGCTCTCTGCTTCCCCTCCACAGAGCAAGACCCTAGCTATCTGCTAGGAAGGCCTCTTATCTCACCACTGACCCTTAGTATACCCAAGCCTAACTCACCAGTAGTAAATGCCTTGGCAGTAGTTAAACCCTGGCTCCAAAGGCACCCGACTAGACACCTTCTTGGCCAGTTCTAAGAAAGCAGGAGCCTCTTCAAGCTTGCCACTCCGTCGGAGCAGATCAATCAATTTATTCAATACCAAAAAATTGTCTAAAAAAAGAAAGCAGAAGTCTGCAGCGTGCAGTGGACAGTTACTGCACCAGGCTGGTGTTCTAAGGTCTGATGGGGGAGGAGGGAGTGCTAGACCTTGAAGAGGTCCCAGGAGACACTACTTGTTTAGGCTGAGCAGAGACATTCTATATTCAGGAGTGAGTAAATTGTACGGTGCTTAAAATACCGACAGCAGGGGCAGGACATGCTTTGGTCAGTGGAGCACTTGGTGTACCAACACAAGGACTTGGGTTCAAATCCCCAGCACCCATCTAAAAGGCAAGGTGTGGCCACATGTCTCTGTAATCCCAGACTTTGGGGGATTTCTGGGGTTTGGTGTTTATCAGACAAGTTCAAGATCAGTGAGAGATCTTGTCTCAAGGGAACAAGACGAGGGTGACAGAGTAGAGTAGGGCACCCATGTTGCCCCCTGACCGCTAGGCACCCTCCCCACCCCCCCCACCCCCCACAGTGACAGTAGCGGTTAACTATCTAGCGCAAACCCTGTACCCGGCTCTGTGTGGTCCACCTGTCATCTAACTACAGGACTGAGTACCCTTTCTGTCCCCATTTGACAGATGAGGACACTGACCATGGAGGAGTGCTGCACCGCTATTGAGTGATACCAGGACTCCGACCCAGGCAGCCTGACTCTGAGACTGCTCCTATCCACAACTGCTAGGCCTGTGGCGACCACCGTGGGCTTGCTGGGCCTCTGCCTTGAGCTCCAGGTCTGACCCTTGAAGCAGCTGTTTGGTTCAGTAGCAACTAGGGGTGTGGTTACCAATCTAGAGAGAACACCTAGCGACTTCCAAGTGGGCGTGGCCACAGAGGGGACTGTTGAGTCCCAGTAGCTGCAGCATGGGGACAGACAGGCTGTCCTGGTCCCAGTGCCAAGCGACCGGGTCCAGGAACTGGCCCCTTGGACTCAGGAAGGGCTGCCACGTTCTGGGTCTTTATCAGTTTCCTGCCTCTCTGGGAACAATTGGGAAGGAAGGGGCTTCCTCTGCCCAGTCAGGAAGGAGGGGAGAAGGCCCACCCTCCTCTGGGATAGCCGCCCTGGCTGGGTGGGGAAGCAGCCTTCTGGTCCCAGTTACCTGGAGCTTTCTCCAGCACTTGGCGGTAGAGATTGATGGCCTTTTCGTAGTTCTGTTTTCTGAACATCAGGTCAGCCAGCATCTATCAGAAGACACATGAGCTGTGTACTCCTGACAGCGGCTTCGTGGGGTCTGGCATGGAAAGAAAGCACAAGACTCCCCAGGTAGCCTCCCTGGTCGGGAGAGCCTGTGAGCTCCGGAGACCCTACCAGAAGGTGAAGACTGCGGGTAACTCTCCGACCCTGCAAGGTGTGGGTCTGGGGTGACCCTAGAGACGTGTGGGCGACAGACAAGCCTGAAGGCTGACCAGGGAGGGTTATATCACCGGCCTCCAGGCACCTGACCTTCACCTAACAGTGGGTGTGTTTTCCCCTGAAGTTGGTCCAACCATTCCCCGCCCCCAGTCTGGCCTAGAGGTTGCTGCTGCCCCCTACTGGTCTTCCCATCCATCCCCAAGTGGCTGGGACAGGGCCCCAAAGCTGTTAGGGTGGGCCAGTGAGGCGTGGCGTCTGAGGTTAAATAATCAGGAAGCAGCCCAAATCTGTCACAGGACCCCGGGGTGGGTGGGTGAGGGAACATGGCATCTCCTACCACGGCAGCTCTCTCGTGGGTCTGCTCTATCTGTAAGAGGGGGCCACAGCGCTGTTCACATAAGTCCAGCTGCCCCTGAAGTAGGTGGAGTTGCGCCAGCTCCAGCGCCACCTGTGACAGACAGACAGACAGATGATAGCTCCCGCCCGCTCTCACCCAGGTTCCCTGCCACTCCACTGGTTTCACCCACTGGATGACCCACTAATCTCATCCTTTGGCCTCTGTTCCTTCCTCTGGGGACTTCTCTGCGTCCTGGATTCCGGGACAGATGGCAACGTGTTAGAATCTCCTACAGGCTACTCTTCCTCTTGCCTGAGGGCAATCTTAAGCAAGGGTCATGCCCTGACCCACTGTCTCCAAGGCCTGTCACTAGGTGAACAGTTACCAAGATAACTTTTGTATTACTTTTTTCATACAACATATTTAACTATATTTTTGAGACATGTCTCATGTATCGTAGGCTAGCCTCCAACTCATCACATGTAGTCAAGGATGACCTCCTGCCTCCACCCCTAAGTGCTGAGATGACAGGTTTTATGTGGTGCAGGGACTGAGCAATCACTCTTCCAACTGCTGGACTCTTTACTGAGTGTGAATTCAGTGTGAACTGTCTCCTCATCTGGCACCACACCCCTCCCACCACTCTCAACTGGCTTGGAACAGCCTGGGCCCCATCCCCAGGCAGCCGGGCAACCACGAATCGCCCCACCCCCACTGGCGGGAACCTGCGACAGCCAGGCCAGCGTGACTTTCACAGCTATCTTTCCCATTCCAAACTTCATGAGTGGTCCAAAGCTGGCCCTCCCGGCCCTGCTTTAAGAATGATAGCAGGCGAGGGCCCAGGGCCAGCCAGAGCCGCCGGCTGCCCCAGAGGCCTCAGCGAAGAGGCCTCAGCGAGCTAGCCTTTTTGCCTTTCCTCCTGCTTCACACCTGTAGCTTCTCAGAGAAGAAAGGCCTCTGCAGCAGCAAGGACACCTCCAAACTCCCGATCCTTCCAAGGGCTGAGATTACAGTTGTGTACAACCTTACTTGGTTTGCAGCTACTTGTGAATGCTAGGCAAGTACTGTACCCCCTGAACCACCACCCCCAGCCCCAGGGTGCTATTTCGAGGGCCACACACCTTATTGTCCGTAGGTGAGTAGGAGAGGGCGTCTTTATAGGACTTCACAGCGCTGTCGAAGTCCTTCTCTGCCTGATAGTGCTCCCCAATCTGGATGCAGATGGAGGCCGCCAGCTGCTTCTGGAAGGGGATCAGTTCTGGCTGTTCCAGAGGGGCTCTCTTCAGTATCCGGGACTGGATGTCCAAGGCCTTGGGGGAACCAGCGAGGCCAGGGTCACGCGCCAGGCCACAGGACTTCCCAGTGTGTGCCATAGCTGGCACTGTCAGAAAGGGTGCCTGGAGGAAATCTGGGCCACCCCCTCAGCACACAGGAGGTCGGCCTGCACGCCCCCAGGGAGGAGCAGGAGGGAAGGATTGTAAACTCCTGTGTTCACGTGCTGCCTCCATCACACCGTGAGGTTGTGTGTCTGATCTGCTTTGGCTGTCTTGCAGGCTACAGCAACACACAGTATTTGCCCAGAGCAGGCTGGGGAGTTGTTACTAGTCGTGTTTTTGAGACAGGGCCTCACTATGTAGCCCTGGCTGATATATGGAACTTGCTCTGTAGACCTGTCCTGCTTCTGGGTTTTTGTTGTTGCTGTTTGAGACAGGGTTTTACATACTCCGGGCTGGCCTGGAACTCATTATGTAACCAAGGATGACTTTGAACCTCTGATCCTGTGCTACCATGCCTGGTTTGTGTAGTGCTGAAGATAGAATCAAGACCTCTGTGTACGTTAGCAACTAAACTACGTCCCAGGACTGTGCTTGGATGGGTACATTTGCTTTGCATCTATCTCCCTTCTGGAATTTGAGGAAGTTCTCACATATCCAAGATGTGAACAGAAGAGGTGTGGAACAGGAAAGACAGCCAAGTTGCAGGAAGTGGGTACAAACTAGTGCTGGGCTCCTCAAGAACAAAGAGCGGATTGGGTGGTAATTCAGAGAAGTCACCTTAGCTGGGCATGGTGGCACACACCTTTAATCCCAGCACTCAGGAGGCAGAGGCAGGTGGATCTCTGTGAGTTCAAAGCCAGTCTGGTCTACAGAGCGAGTTCCGGGACAGCCAGGGCTGTTACGCAGAGAAATACTGTCTCCAAAAACAACAACAACAATAACAACAAAAAAGAGAAGGCACCTCAGCGGTCCGTGTGAGGGGCTCTCCCTCTAGAACTACACAGCTATCCTGGGAACAAGTGGGAGGCTGCACTTGTGGGTGGAGAGTGAGAAGGCGGGACAGGGATGGCCAGGGCACTTGGACGGGGCAAGCCCAGTATGGAAAGGTGTGCTGGTACAGGCCACACTCAATCTTAGCTCCATCTCCTTTCCCTATGCTAGACCCATTAGAAGGCAAACACATTGCAAGTAAAAGATGCACTCCTTTAATCCTAGGACTTGGGAGGCCGAGACAGGGGGATCTTTGAGCTCAAGGATGGCTTATTCTACATCAGTGATTCTCAATCTTCCTAATGCTGCGACTCTTTAATTCAGTTCCTCATGTTGTGGTGACCTCCAACCATAAAATTATTTTCGTTAAAATTCATAACTGTAATTCGGCTACTGTTATGAATTGCAATGTAAATATCTGTGTTTTCTGATAGGCGGCATCTGTGAAAATAGCTTGTCCCCCCACCCCCCAGGGGCTGCGACCCACAGCTTGAGAACATTGGTCTTCATAGCCATACTAGGCCAGCTAGGGCTATAGAGTGAGATACCATTTAAAAATAATAATAATAATAATAATAATAATAATAAAAATTCAAAATTCTTGGGCTGGAGAGACGGCTCAGGAGTTTAGAGCACATACTGCTCTCGTACAGGATCTGAGTTTAGTTCTCAGCAACCACATCAGGCAGCTCACAACCACCTAGACCTCCGGTTCTACGGAATCTAATGCCCTGTTCCGGTGTCCACAGGCACAAGGCACGCATGTGCTGCACATGCATATGTGTAGGTAAACACTCATGGATAAAATAAAAAAATCTTTTAAAAATTGCGTTGACTAGAGCTGGGCAGTGGTGACACACTCCTTTAACTCCAGCACTTGGGAAGCAGGCAGGGGAATCTCAGAGTTCGAGGCCAGCCTGGTCTACAAAGAGAGTTCCAGGACAGCCAGGACTACACTGAGAAACCCTGTCTTGAAAAAAAAAAATGCATTGACTGTACCTAACTTACTGAGCATCAAAGCTTAGCAACAAGCACATTGTGGAGCGCTGGGTGAGCCTGAGAGAGAGAGAGAGTGGCCGATTGGAAGCTGCCAGCTCGCTGCCACTGTTAGCATCTCCAAGGAGGAACAGCGTCACATATCTCCAGCCCAGGAAAAGTGAAAATCCAGGACTTGAAGTTCAGTTCCTAGTGAATGCTTTCACACTACTGAAAAAAGTTCTAGAACTCTAGAACAAATCACCTTAAGTTGTAAACATCTCTACTTAGCTTTGGGTTCACGTCTTCATTTCTTTGGGCTTTATCTATTAGATAGAAATGTCACAATGTTTAGCTCAAAGCACCACCGTGAAAACTTAAAAAGACATCAGAGAAGCCAGACAGTAACACTTACCTGGATACTAGCACCCAGCAGGCTGAGGCAGGAGGACTACCATAAGGCCAGCCTGGGCTACATAGTGAGTTCTAGGCTAGCCTGGTAAACATAGTAAGACCCTGATTCAAAAGGAAGGGAGGGAGGGCAGGAGGAAGGAACAGATGGTGTGTGTGTGTGGGGGGGGGAGGGGAGACAAGCAAGGCTAGCCCAGAGCTCTCAGTGCAGGGAACTGCTGCCGTTGTCAGCTGCTACCACACCGTCCTTAAGGACAGTCACTATCTCCTGGCCCTTCCCAGCCCAGCCCAGCCTTCTCAGGTGTACCATCACTGAGGAGCAGCGATGTAGAGTGAGTGAGCAGGGCAGACCCATGGGCCGAGCCTTCCTTCCTCCCGACATCAGGAGCTACAGACAAAGAACTTGGGTCAATTACCTGGTTCAGCGTTTCAACCACATCCTCTTTTTTATGGCTCTTGTAAACCTTTGCCAGCAAAAGCAAGCACTTAACCTCATTCATCATGGATGGAATATCCTTGACCCCTAGAGAGAAATGCCAGTCAGAGTAGTCTGGCCCTTGGGTTGATGGGGAGGGCTGGGTTCACATCCCCAGCTAATGTGGGAAGGCCAAGGAGGACAGAGGCAGGAGTGAGTTCGAACACCACCTCACCCGAATCTCGTTCCAAGGCCTGCTTCAGCACCTTCTCTGCCTTGTGGTATTTCTTCAGCTTCAGGAGCAGTTCGGCCAGTTCGCAGCACAGGAAGTCCTGCCCGCTGATCTTCTGGGCAGCCTCATAGTAATTAATGGCCTTAGTGCAAACAGGAAATATTGGCTTCAGTTTGGCTCTGCATGGGAGTGGCTGACACCATGTCCCTTCAGCAGCCACTACATCAGATTGCCCCCCAGCACACAGATGGCCAAGATGAATGCCCCACCCCCACCTCCCAACAGGGTTCAGGCCTCAGGTGAAGCAAGCAGGGCCACAGTGCAGACTGCAGAGCTCACCACTGGTCACACTCTCAGTGGGAAGCTGTAGTGAAATACTGGGTCCCTTCCCATCTAAACCCCCAGCTCCTGGGCTTTCTCCTTCTGTCCCTGCATGGCTGGCCCTCCCCAGGGCAGCCTCACCTTGGTGTACTGGTGGGTCTTCATGTAGGCTTGTCCCATCCTGCTGACCAAGGAGGCATCATGAGGGTTCTTTCTATAGGTTTCATCGTACACCTCCAGGGCCTTCTCAGGCTGGTGGGGGAAATTATGGAAGGGGGTGTCTTTCTCTTTTCTCACTGGAGAAGTGATCTGGGGAGCTAGTTAGCAAGGCCCAGAAGCTCCCTCACTTACCTCCTGAATGTTCATGAAAGCATCACCCAGTAGCAGGCTGCTGTGGGGACCGGGCAGATGTTCACAGAGCTCCCTACAGGAGAAATCAACTGCCTCTCTCAGGCCTGGGCCTGGCTAGTGTCCATCCATTTATCATTCTTGAGTCCTGAGATCCTGGGGAGCACTGATAGCCATCTGAGCCATCCGGGCCACCCCAACCCTCCGATCTTCCCCATGAGCAGTCATACTATTGTGCATGTTTCTTTGTTTGAGTTTGGTTGTTTTTGAGCCAGGGTCCACATCCTCAGGCTGATTCTCAACTCCTGATCCTCTAGTTTCTACCTCCCAAGTACTGGGATTCCAGTTGTGGTGACCCAGCTGGTTTTATGTCACACTGAAGACTGAACATGGGGCTAATGGAATGCTAAGCAAGCAGTTCATAACCGGGCTACATCTTCAGCTATACCTCCTTTTCCTGAGATGCTGGGTTGGCACATGGCCACTGAGCCCCACCCCAGCCCTACACTGCCCCCCTGAAACTCCAATCTGGACATGCTACCCTGTTGATCAGTTTCTACTCTGCCGGCTCCCCAACCCCAACACTGCCTGATTTTTCGCAGAGAAAGGGGCTGGGAAGGGCCTCTTGAGGGTCCAGCACCAAATCCTAGGAGACAGAGGGATGGGGCTTCTGACTTCCACTCTCTTTCCTCCCCCACCCCACACGAATCAACCCTGAGGCCCTGCACCATGGTTCTTCAAGGAAAGGGGAAAAGGAGGGCCAGGGTGTGACTGTGTTCTCATGATTCCTTTGACATCAGTGCTGGGATCCAGGCCTATGTGCTCCCACCATAATGCAAAACATGCAGGGCAGAGGTCAGGGGAAGGGCAGGCAGCAGGGCTGAGGGGCCTCAGAACTCACCCACGGGCAGGGAGACCTACGCGGTGTTCATACCATAGTCTAATGCACCCTGGGCACACACTCTGGAGATCAAACTGAAGACACACAACACAAGGAAATCCTCCCCGCAGCCAGCGGCAAAGGCGTTGTCTGCTGCAGCTACGGGGCCCTTACATGTAGCATCCGATGTAGAGGCGCACATCCTTGCGAGTGTTCAGGTAGATGCTGGCCATCTTCTCCTTGGCTTCTGTGTAGCAGGGCTGCTTGGGTGTGATGCCTCTTAGCATGCTCAGTGCCAAGTCCACGTTGCCTTTGCTCAGAGCCAAGTCCACATTGGCAACTGTGATCCGCATCTCCTCTGGCGTGCCGCTGAACTCGTTGATGGCATCCTGCATGATCTTGGTGGCCTCATGCTATAACGTGGAGACGAAACAGACCCTCTCTTTGGAATTATCTACTACAGGTGACCCAAGGACATTTATACCACCTTTTCCACCCCAGCCCAGGGGTGCTCCTGTGCCAAGAAGGTACTCAGCTGCCTGTAGAGCAGCTGTGGAGGCAAGGGCCAGTCATTAGAACACACAGATGCTGCTGTCACCATTGTGCCTCTCCTAATGGGGACAGCTCATCCAACCACACGCTTCCCACTGGGAGAGCTGCCAGAGCAGTTATGATGATGGGCACCTGCAATCCATCACTTGGGAGGTGGAGGTAGGAGGATCATGAATTTCATGCCAATCTGGACTTCATAGACAGTTAAAAAAAAAAAAAAACCGAATGAAGGGGTGATGAGATGGTTCCGCAGGTAAAGGTGTTGCTGCAAAGTTCAATCCCCAGGATGCATATGGTGGAAGGAGGGAGCCAGCTCCCATAATTTGTCCTCCTCTGACCTCCAGCATGCGGTGCTTACACACCGACATACACGGTCATGGACGCAAACACACAAAAATAAGTAGTACCGTTTTAAAAGTTAAAACAAGCAAAAGCAAACACACAAACCAAACAACCAAATACCTGAGAAGCCCAAACCCAAACCCTCAAAGTGCTAGGCTGGAGTGAGCACACTCTCCAGAGTGTAACCTGTCCTGGGCTGCCTGCAGCTCCTCGTCTGGGAGAGCCTTTGCAGGAACTTGGTTGGAGCCCTGGCTCACAGCGCTCGGCCCCCATCTTTGTCTGGCTGTAGAAACGACTTTAAGTTTATCCCCTGCTTATTCTCCTGAGCCCGGGATGGGCAGAAGCAGAGAGGCGCTGCATTGTGAACCTCCATCAGCAGTCCTGGCCTTCTATGGGTTAGAGCTGGTCACCCTAGGGATGTCCCTGTGCTCCTGGGGGTGGGGGGCTGTCTCACTCCATTCACAGCCCCATCCTCTATCCTCTGTCCCCAGTGGGAACATCTGGGCTTGTCCTTCACCCAGTTCCCTTCCTGGTGCCTGACATACCAACCCTTAGCTTTGGCAATGACTGCGCTATCAGCTGACTTTGGATGGGGCGGTTCCTGGTTCTGCACAGATAGACGGAGCATCCATCTCTACCTGTTGCTTCCACATTCACATATTTACCCAGAGGCCCACCCCCTGTGTGTGTGTATGTATATATATATATATATATATATATATATATATATATATATATATATATATATATATATATGCGCGTGCGCATGCGCACACGCTTCAGCTGCATGCTAGAGTATGAGCAGGTATACCAGCACATGTGTGCACATGCCAGAGGTAAGTCTCAGGTGTCATTCCCTAGGAGCCATTCACCTAACTTTTGAAACGGAGTCTCTCAGTGCCCTGGAACTTGTTCATTTGAGTGGGCTGACTGGTTATCGAGCCCCAGAGAGCCTCCTGGCTCCACTTCCCCTGCTCTGGAATTACAGTCATGTGTCCCCAAGCATGGCGGTTTTTTGTTTCTGTTTTTGAACACAAAGTTTCTCTGTGTAACAGCTCTGGTTGTCCCGGAACTTGCTTTGTAACCAGTCTAGCCTTGAACTCAGAGAGATCTGCCTGCCTCAGCCTCTCCAGTACTGGTGTCTTAGGGTTTCTGTTGCTGTAAAGAGACCCCATGACCACAGCAACTCTTATAAAGTAAAACATTTAATTTTAATTTAATTAATTATAATTATTTATTTAATTATTTAATTTTAAAGGCTTGCTTACAGTCAGTCCATTATCGTCATGGAGGGAAGCAAGGCATCCTGCAGGCAGACATGGTGCTAGAGAGGTAGCTGAGAGTTCTTACATCTTGATTCAAAGGCCACAGGAAGTGAACTGTCTCATTGGATGTGGCTTGAGCATATATGAGACCTCAAAGCCCCCCTCCACAGTGACACACTTCCTCCAACAAGACCACGCCCACTCCAACAAGGCCACACCTCCCATTAGTGCCACTCCCTCTGGGGTCCATTTTCTTTAGCTGGGATTTAAGGCATATGCCACCATGCTGCCTCCCCTTTCCTCAAGGACTGAACTCAGGTCCTCACACTCGCATGACAAGCACTTTACCAACTGAGCCATCTTCATGATCCCTGTATCTTGAAAGAGAAAAAACCTTTCAGGCTAGTTTCCTGTCTCCATCAGGCTCATCACAGGGGAAGGCTATGGACCTTGCTCACAGAGATGGTCCAGGACAGACTGCATCCTGCAAGCTGGCAAGACTAGTGAGACCTAGGTATCATACAGACATCAGCTCCTCCAGGTCTTGCTCTTGTCTCTTGCAGAGAGAGGCAGGGGGATCTCTGTGAGTTCGAGGATAGCCTGGTCTATATAGTGAGTTCTAGGACAGCCAGAGCTACATAAGAGACCCTGTCTCAACCAAGCTAAACTAACAAACAAAAAGGGCTCAAATCATAGCCCAAGTGAACATCAGGCAAAATCAGAGCTTGGCTCCCAGGCTGATCTCCTGGGGCCTCCAAATGTGCCCCAGCCTAGGGGATGGGAGCAAAGCATTTCTTTCTTTGTTGTGTGTCTATATGTTCGGTGTGCATGCATGTGTGTACGCATGTTCCCATTGTGGGGTGGAGGCATGTGTGTGCAGGTGCACACTCATATTTGCACGAGGGAAGAGGTTGACATCAGGTGTCTTCCTCAGTTGCTCTCCACTTTGGGCAGGTCTCTCTCACTGAACCTAAAACTCTCAGACATATTGTGGGTCCTGGCAATTGGAACTCTGGTGGTCCTAAAGCTTTCAACACAAGCTCTTTAGTCACTGAGCCTAATCCCCAGCCCCAAACAAGGCATTTCTCACCAGCTCCCCGTTCAGTCGGAGGGCCTCTACTAGCTCCAGCAGGATGGATGCCCGCTCGCTGGGCTGAACGGAGGGGCCTCGGAGCTTCTTGTTCTCTTCTGCCTTTGTGGTGGGCAACTTGATGATGATTTTCAAGGTCTTTATGGCCTCAGCATAGTCACCAGTCTTGTTGAGGGCCCTGGCTTTGATGAAGTGGTAGAGGGGGTGGTCTCGGACCTAGGAGAGGAAGAGCAGAGCCGGGTCTAGCTCACCCCTGCTCTCACACGGCAGCCTGAGAAACTTCTCCAGGGGAGCCAATGAGGCTGCCGTGCCTGTGGGTGAGCAGAGGGTCGGGGGTTTATGTCTTTACACACTCCCCCTGCCCCAGCAACGGGCCACAGAGTGTAGAGAGCTCCCACCTGGAAGTTGTGGCTGACACCCAGCTCTAAACAATGGGAACACATGGCAAAGTTGCCCTGAGCCAGGTAGATCTGGGACAGGAGGAGGTGGGCATCCACTAAGGTGGGATCCAGCTCCAGGCAGCGTTGCAGGGTGCTCTGGGCATTCTCCAACTCTCCTAGGAACACAAAACCAAAGTCTGCATCCAGGGATCTTCAGGAGCCCCTGAGACCCAACAAGCAGAGGGAGAATGGATTTCACACACGCAGTCATTCAGAAATCTGGCATTCAGCTGGGCAGTGGTGGTGCACGCTTTTAATCCTGGCACTCAGGAGGCAGAGGCAGGTTGATTTCTGTGAGTTCAAGGCCAGCCTGGTCTACAGAAATCTGGCATTTACAGAAATCTCTATAAAATGTTGGTATTTTACCCAGTTTTAAAGTGTGTGTGTGCACGTGCGTGCGTGTGTGTGTGTGTGTGTGTGTGTGTGTGTGTGTGTGTGTGTTTATGTGTATGTGTATGTGCACGACAAAGGACAACCTCCAGTGTCATTCCTTAGGAGCCATTCACCTTGTGTTGAGACAGGGTCGGTCTCTGGCCTGGAGCTCACCATGTAGGCTAGGCTGACCAGCCAGCCCTGGGGTTCCACCTGCCCATCTCTGCCTCTCTGGCACTAGTATTCCAAGCATGGGGTCAAACTCAGGTCCTTGTGCTTGCAAGGAAGTCGCTTTAATGACTGAGCTCTTTGCTCTGACCTGAAAGGCCTGTTAGAAAGTCTCAGTAAGCTTAATATCTGCATGACTCTGTAAGGCTGTTTTGTTTTGTTTTGTTTTGTTTTGTTTTGTTTTGTTTTTTTTTTTTTTTTTTCGAGACAGGGTTTCTCTGTGTAGCTTTGCGCCTTTTCTGGATCTCACTCGGTAGCTCAGGCTGGCCTCGAACTCACAGAGATCCACCTGGCTCTGCCTCCCGAGTGCTGGGATTAAAGGCATATGCCACCAACGCCTGGCTGTAAGGCTGCTTTCTAATCCTTGTATTTTATCTTTATTTTTAGTGGTGCTGGGAATTGGACCATGGACCTCAGGGATGTTAAGCAGGCACTATATCTGTTTGGGCCTTGACATACTGTCTTTTGGGTGTGGGGCTCAGGATGCAGTCCTGTAAGCCATTCAGCCCAAGGGACAAAGTCTTCATTTAAACTCCAGTCCATGGGAGTCTGAACTCCTGGCACTAGGAGACTCAGGGGCCTCTCTGAAGCCAGGCAGGCAGTCCTGGTTTGATAGTGCCCCCTTAATACTAGGGTGCAGAGGGCCAAGAGGGGCACTTCCTCCTTCTATAGCCAGACCTCTCCACAGCTGCTACCTGTAGTCCATCACCTGAAGGGGTGGGGGAGACACCTCTTTTGGGTCCCAAATTCCCTCATCTTTCCCTGTGTGCTGTGGAAAGGAAGAAGTCACCATGGCAACCTAATCACCTGGAGACCTAGCTTTGGTCCCAAACCTCCTGGTAGCTGCCAGCGCCTCTGAGACAGTCTTTTTTCCCTGGCCTTGAACCCAAGAGACTGTGAAGCTATGAGTGAACCTGGCACAGAGAGCCTTGGGGATGAAGACTTAGGAGCCCTCAGATGAGTGAAACCCCTCAGTGTGAGCCCACTGGAGAGTGGAAATAGTCTGTTTGAAGGTAAGAAGATGGGTGTGGGCCGTGCGTGAAGTGCTTCAGGGGAGGACTGTGTGTCAAAGAGAACAACTGGGCATCCATGAGATGTTCTTCCCTTTCCTCTCTCTGGTGCCTCAACTCCTGCAACCCGGGAGAAGCTGGCAGACCTGGCTGTGGCCTCAGGGAAAGCCTTACAATCCAGGGCCTCGTGGGAATACTCTTCCTATCCCACACGTCCTTCCTAGTTCCGCCACAGCAGCATTCTGTGCATGCATGTATGTACATATGTATGCGGGTGTGTATGTGTGTCACACATACAGACAGGAAAAGAATCCCAGGCAAGGAGCCTGTGGATATGCCTAGGGCAGAAGCTCCACCAGGTGTCTGGAGCTGCTCACCTGAGAGAAACTTGACCTGAGCCATCACATACAAGGGCTCCATCATGGCCGGGGCTACCTTCACCACAGGACTCAAGATCATAGCGACTTGTTTAAGAAGTGGAGACACGAGCTGGCCAGGTGACCGAGGCTGTGGGAACAGCAGGGGTTAAATGTGTGGTTTGTCTTATTTCTTCTCCTACCACCTTCTCTTTCCAAACCCCCTGCCCCCCAGAGTCTCATGTAGCCCATGACAGCCTCGAATTCCCTATGCACCAAGGATGATCTTGAACTTCTAACCCTCCTTCCTCTACCTCCTGAGTGCTGGGATTATAGCTCATGTCAGGATATGGACAGGTGCATGGCCAGTGTGCTGCCCCACCCAAATACGGTGCCTGTACCACGGCTTCAGAAAGGCCTGGGAGCTTGTGAGAGATGTGACGCTTTGCGCCTCACCTGGGACATCCAACTCTGCACCAGTACAGCCTCTGAGGTGATCTGGCTTCAGCGTGTTCCAGTTTGAAAAGACCTGGGGCTGGGGCTGTCACTCAGGGGATAGAGCACTTGCTCTGCTGAAGTACTGAGTGCCATCCGCAGTACCCCATAAACTGGGTGTGGTGGCACACACCTGCAATCCCAGCTCTCAGGACGTGAAGGCCGGAGGATCAGGAGTTCAAAGATCATCTTTGGCTACATAGCAAGTTAGAGGCTAACCTGGGCTACAGGAAACCCTGTCTCAAAACAAGTCAAGACAACAAACAAAAACACTGGATCCCTGATGCTTGCTCACAGCTCCGCCTGGCTTGGTGGCTGGCCAGGTAAAGCCCTGGCTTCTGTCCTTTGTGTGGCCACCAACCACACCTGTACTTTAGGCCCCTGCCATGAAGATGGGTCTTCCCCTAACCTGCTTGGGGCAGAAATGCAGATACTCCTTGGCAATGCAGACCAGAAAGAGGGGGTCCAGCTTTTCAAAGTACTCGGGGCTCAGGGCCAGGCCCTGCATGCTGGAGAAATGCAGCTCCACTGCCTCCTTCAGCAGCGCTGTGGCCTCTTGCTCCAGCTTTTGCTTCTTCGACGCCACAAGGGCTTGCAGGAAAACCAGCACCTGTGCAAGAGAGGCTTGGGGCTCAGAGCCGAGGCTGGCTGGGGAGACCGGCCGAGTGAGTGCGAGCCCTAAGGTGGGCCATTTTGATGGCCCTCTGCTGGAGACTCCACCCAGGAGCCATCTTGCCCATTAGCTCTGACCTCAGACTTCCCAAGGGACTGCTGCACCTCCTTGAGGAACTCCAGCTGGTTTGCAGCCTCCTCCAGCTGGCCCTGTAAGATCTGGCACCAGATGCTCCCTGCGGATGGGACAAGAACGAAGCTGAGCAGGCAGCAGAGCCAGCAGCCTGGCAGCTCCAGGGGTGGACTGAGACAGGGAGAGGAGGGGCACAGGCAGGCAGTCTGCTCACATCTGCACAAACTGAAGGAGTAAGACAGGCGTGTGTGGCAGAGAGCTGAAGCAGAAAGGCAACAAAGACCATTATCCCTATGTGTTGACTTTAACAATGGCTCCGTTGATAACCACTGTTAACAACTTGGGGTTTAATCCTTCAAACATTTTTTTAAGTATTTGTTATTAATGTACACACAGTAATACGCAACTCGAAGATCTACTTTTAGGGGTTCAGGGTATAGCATGCATGAAGCCCCGGGTTCAACTCCTAGCATGGTGACAAATAAAATTGTGTATATGTGTGCACATGCATGAACGTGTGTGCCACGTTGCACATGTGGAGGACAGAAGACAAGTGTGGCAGTCAGCCCTCTCCTTTGTGGGGCCATCAGGCTTGCAGGAGGCCACTTTACATACTCAGCCACCCCTGTTTCAGTCTTTACCAGTCTAAAATGTAAGGAGGGCTGGAGAGAGGCTGCACTGTGGAGCACTGCTCCTCAGAGGACCCAGTTAGGTTCCCAGCCCTCACAACGGAGCCCTCACAACAGGGGCTCACAACAGAGGGCTCACAATAGGCCTCACAACAGGGGCTCACAACAGGGGCTCACAACAGAGGGCTCACAATAGGCCTCACAACAGGGGCTCACAACAGGGGCTCACAACAGAGGACTCACAACAGGGGCCTCACAACAGGGCCTCACAACAGAGGGCTCACAACAGAGGGCTCACAACAGGGGCTCACAACAGAGGGCTCACAACAGAGGACTCACAACAGGGGCCTCACAACAGGGGCTCACAACAGGGGCTCACAACAGAGGGCTCACAACAGAGGGCTCACAACAGGGGCTCACAACAGAGGACTCACAACAGGGCCTCACAACAGAGGGCTCACAACAGAGGCCTCACAACAGAGGGCTCACAACAGAGCTCCAGGGCACTCAACACCCTCTTCTGACCTCTGTGGGCACACACACACACACACACACACACACACACACACACACGCACACGCACACGCACACACACGCACCCCACACCTGTACACACACGATGTCAAAGGAATGAGTTCTAATTCATATGCTCTTCATTATTAGGGGGAATTCGAGACAGGGTTTCTCTGTGTAGCTTTGAGCCTTTCCTGGATCTCACTCTGCCAACCAGGCTGGCCTCGAACTCACAGAGATCCACCTGGCTGTGCCTCCTGAGTGCTGGGATTAAAGGCATGCGCCACCGCCACCCAGTGTTTTGTTTTTTTTTTTCCTTTTATGGTGGTAGGGGTACTAAGGATTGAAAGCCTTAAATATGCCAGGCAAACACTAAACTATGTCTGCCTGTTTCTTTTTATATACTATGGTTATTAACTTGTTTTTAATCATTAGTATTTTGGATAGTGTGTCTCATGTAGCCTAGGCTGGCCTCCAATATCTATGTAGCTGGGGATGACCTTGAACTCTTGCTCCTCCGGCTTCTGCCTCCCACTGCTGGGATGACAGGTACACACCTACATCCCAGCTGATGGTGCCCTTTATTCATGGGACATAGCAGATTATTCAAACACAGAAGAAGTCCCAGGCTCTCTGGGACCTTACGTTTGTTCCTCAGAGGTCCGCTGATTTGCGTGACCCACTGGACGCCCTCCCCACACACGCTGCTGGCAGACCTAGAAGCGCAGACTGACTGTAACCGTGGCAGGTCTTCTAAGCCAAGGCCAGCACGTGCCCCTGCCTCCCGCTTCAGGTCAGCTGAGATGGGGAAGGGCTGGGCTTGGTGAGCGGTAAGGTCGGTGAGACAGACTTGTGACTAGTTTGCATCCCTCTGGCTGCCTGCTGGGGCTTTCCGTAAATGAGGGAGTTAGGAAGCAAAGGTTCAACATGGTGGGGGAAGTCTTCTTTCTGTGTTCTACAGCCCTCGTGGTGGTGCTGGGTCCTCTGGGGCAACACTCTCCTCTCTCCAGTTCTCCCCTCCATTTTGGCTTCCGGACAAGGAATGTTCTAGCACTCCACTTCCTGGATGACTGCCCCACTGCGAGCTTTTGCTCTCTCCTTCTCGACCTTGGGCTTGTGTTTCTAGGGTCCCTGGAGCTCTTTGGAGAAAGCTGGTCTACTCATTTCGTCTCTGAGACAGGGTCTCTGTGTGGGGAGGATAGCCATGGAATCCTTCTGCCTCCGTCTTCTGAGTGCCATGTCCAGCTTTGGTCTTTAGTTGGCTCCTCTCTGCCTATGTTGGCTCACAGGTTTCTAGACCTGCTTGGAATTTCCATGCATTCGTAGCGTTCGCCTCTGTGGTTCTTGACACTTCTGGTCTGCTAAAGGCACCTTTCCGAACTTTTCCCACAGCCGCAGTGGAGACATCTCTTCTTTCTATCTATCATAGCCTTGGCTGTTCCAGAGCTCTCCATGTAGACCAGGCTGGCCTTAAACGCACAGAGATCGACCTGTCTCTGCCTCCTGGGTGCTGGGATTAAAGTCATGGGCCACCGCACCTGGGCTTGGACTTATCTTTTAGAATGTCTTCAGGGCTGGCCAGACTGCTCAGCAGGTAAAAGTGCCTGCTGCGTAAGCTTGGTGACCTGAGTGTGATTCCCTGGGACTCACATAAAGGTGGAAGACGGGAACCCAAGCTGTCCTCTGACCTCCATAAGTGTGCCGTGATTTGCACACAGGCACACAGGCAAAACACACGCTAATAAATAAAATAAAAGCCTTCATGGTATATGCCTATAATCCCAACACTTGGAGGCAGAGGCAGGAGAGTCAGTTCAAAGCCGTTTTTGGATGTATCAAGTTCGAGGCCAGCCTGTACTACATAAGATCTTCTTTCTTTAAAAAAAGAAATTAAAGAGATGGCTCAGAGGTTAAGAGGTCCTGAGTTCAATTCCCAGCAACCTCATGGTGGCTCACAACCATCTACAATGAGATCTGGTGCTTTCTTCTGGCTGCAGGGTGCAGCAGGCTGCAGCACACTGTATAAATAATAAATAAATAAATCTTTAAAAAAAAAAGAAATTAATTTGCATGGGATTTGAGCTGGAGGAGAGGTAGCTGGTGTGAGGGCTGGCCGAATGTGCTGAACAGGAAGTTACAATTACTCTGATAATTACACTGTCTCCAAGAGGCCAGAGTTTAGAACAAGGGACCACAAACACTCATTCCCCAGAGCTAGCCAAGAACAGTTGTCCTGAACACTGCGCCAACTTCCTCAACCCAAGCAGACTCTATACTTCAGAACGCATGCAGATTACAGTGTTGGGGTTGTTTAAAAAATGTATGAAGCAGGCAGGGATGCCCATTGAGAATAAAGAGAAAAGGGGCTAGGGGTGCTGCTTAGTCTATAGAGTGCTTGTTTATTACGTACAAAACCCTGGGTTCAAAATCTAGCATTGGTCAGCCATGTGGTGCACGCCTTTAATCCCAGCATTGGAGAGGCAGAGGCAGGCAGATCACTGGGTTCTGAGCTAGTCTGGTCTACAAAGTGTGTTCCAGGACAGTCAGGGCTACACAGAGAGACCCTGTCTCAAAAACCAAACCAAACCAACCAAACAACCAAACAAAAAAACATAACACCACAGCACCATGCAAACAGGGCATGGTGGCCACATTTGTAACCCCAGCACCTGGGAGGTAGAGAGAGGCGGGAGGGTCAGAGGCTCAGTCATCCTTGACTTCACAGTGAACTCGACAACAGCCTGGGCTACAGGAGACACTGTCTTAAAAACCAAAATAAACAATCAAATGCAAGAACCTGGGGCACATTGGTACATGCCTGTAACCCCAGCAATTAGAAGGCTGAAGGACTGCAAGTCCAAAACTAGCCTGGGTAACCTTGTCTCAAAAACAAACAAACAAATGAAAGAAAAAACAAAAACCATCAACTTAAAAAAAAAAATGGGGCCTCTGCTGTGAAGGATCATAGCAAGACTCCCTGTTAGGAATGGTTAACATGTGCTAAGGTAGAAAGAAAAAGCAGCGCTTCTGGAAAGGTCATTTGACACTTACACAAAGGAAGGTATCAGGACGACAGGAAAGTAACACCTCAGAGAGCCCTCCCTCGTGGCTTTTCAGCTCCACATCTGCACAGGGAGTCAGGATGTGCATCCAGAGGCGCTCTCTCTCTCTCTCTCTCTCTCTCTCTCTCTCTCTGTGTGTGTGTGTGTGTGTGTGTGGTGTGTGTCGGGGGTGGTGGTGGTAAGGACATCTCTACTTCTGGCCTGTGGGGACTGAGAAGGGGCGGGGTCATCAGAATATACACTGACCTACCCGTTTTCGTTGATGTAGGATGTGGGTGCTGCAGCCACGACATGGATCAGTCCTGGGCCTTCCATCTAAATTGGTGGCTTTACTGGAAGACCCCAATAGTACAGTACCCCCTAAACTCACACAAGTCTGGAGAGAATGTTCCCAGGCCCAGGGAGGATACACCACCCTGCCCTGCCCGGCCTGCAGAGACCTGCCAAGGCATCCAGCCTGTTCTCCTCCAGCTTCATGGCCTCCTTGTACCACAGACATGCTTCCTTCACTTGCTGCTGTAGGATGAAGAGGTAGCCCAGCTCTGTGGCCACAAGGGCACAGGAGGGTGTGGCCATGAAGATACGCTCCAGGAAGCCGCTCACAAGCCGCTGGACCTCCTGGTGCTTCCCACACTGCCAAGAGTGGACATATGGAAACAGAGTCTAGTCAGCCCAAGCCAGCTGGGTGCAGATACATGAGAAGTGAGGCATTTCAGCAAAGCTGGGGAGGCCCCAAGAGCCCAAGAGGTACCTGGGAGCTCCATTTAGGAAGAAGTTGGGTGTATATAACTAGCTATCCATCTCCTGAGGAACCTGCCTCTAGCCACAGGGTCCTCCAGACACATCCTTGGCTGGCCACAGTCACTGATTTTTTTCTTTTCTTTCTTTCTTTCTTTCTTTCTTTCTTTCTTTCTTTCTTTCTTTCTTTCTTTCTTTCTTTCTTTCTTTCTTTTTTTTTTTTTGTTCTTCAAGACAGGGTTTCTCTGTATCCTGGCTGTTCTAGAACTCTCTCTGTTGACAAGACTGGCCTTGAACTCACAAAGACGATCTTGCCTCTGCTTCCCGAGTGCCGGGATTAAAGGTGTGCGCCACCACTGCTCAGCAGTAACTGATCTTCTTTGTAGTTACCAACAGGTTGTTTTGTTTTTGTGACAAAGTCTCATGTAGCCCAGGTGGCCTTGAACTTGTTACATAGCCGAGGCTGGCCTTGAACTCCTGATCCTCTTGCCTCTACCCTGAGTGCTGGGATCACAGGTGTGCATTACCACTCCCAACTTCTTACCAGAAGGTGGGATTTGGTTCTGTGTTTGTTTGTTTGTTTGCTTGTTTTTTTTTTTTTTATCTAAAACTTGTTGAAAAGCTATTTGAGTTTGGTGATGGGAGGTGGCTGTGATGAGCCATGTCCCATGCCATATGAGGACAAAGCTGAGAAATGCAGACATACACATGAAGGGGGACAGTCACCCAGTCTGTCACCAGCAACCCCTTCTGGTCTCTGCAGCCCAGGGTTGGTCTCATTCTTAGTTTTTCCTGTAAACTTTTCTTGGAGTGAAAAATTATTTGGCAACTTGGTCTGTTTGGACGTTCGATGCCAGGGGACCAGCTGGACTGTCTGTCAGGTCACTGCTATGAGGAGAATATGCTGGATCAGGACTGGTGTGGTTCTGCACAGCGAGGCAGTGGTACCTCCTCTCCCTGGTAGGGCCACTCTAAAAGCCCTTCAGACCCCATCTCCCTGGTCACTGTAGCACCTCCATGGGGCACCTTGGAGGAGGACATGTGGCCACATCATGTCACTGTTATCAGCCAGAGAAGGGCAGAGGCCACAGGGATGGGCTACCCAGGCAGAAGGTGCAGGTCTGAACTGGAGGGGGAAGGAGAGGGGTTGGGTGCTCAGAGCATAGAGAGAAGCCAAGGTCTTCTCATGGGGGCGTGGTCAGAAACTGGGTGCTGCCTACTTACCAGTCTACTGACCACAAGAATCTTCTTAAGGTGGAGGCTGGGATTCTGGGGTTCTCGAGTCTCTAGCGCCTTGATTAGACTTCTAACACGATCTGTAGCCTGTAGGGACAAAAGAGACAATGTGGGAGTTTGCGGACATAGCTTGGGTGGTTGAGTGCTTGCCTAGCATGCATGAAGCCCTGAGGTCCACAGCAGAAAGCCAAGCATGGTGGTGCATGCCTGTAACCCCAGCACTCAGGAGGTAGAGGCAGGGGGTCAAGGACATCCTTACTACACAGGAAGGATGTTCCAGACCCTGTCTATAAATGGAGCAAAGCAAAACCGAACCCCAAAACACAAAACCAGAGTTGGTGGGACTTTTCAGTCCCGCTGCACATTAGTTGGGAGATTTTGGGCACTCCATGCTCAGCTTTGATGCCACCCTCTGAGATTCGGCTTTGCTTGTCCCAGATGACCTAGCCATCAAAACTGTTTCAAAATCCCACAAATGGAGCCTGAAGGAACATTATTCCCTCCAGGGATGACCCTGGCCCCTACCCTGAGTGTGTGAGGAAGCTGCCCTGCTGGGCTTACCAAGGCAGAGGCCATTGCTATAAGTAGCCTCATGTGACCACACCATTACCCTTAAGTCCCTGCCTGTGGCTTGCAGCAGCCAAGTCCTCAGCTCTATTCTGACACATGTGTCACATGGGCACCTCTGTCCCCAGTGGACCTCCTATAGTGCTGTAAGTGAATGCTGCCGTCCAGACTCCCCAGCACAGCAGAGGGAGGGTTAAAAGGTCTGGGGTCACCTAGCCACCCAGGCAACTGATTCCCTTATGTGCTTGACTCTCCTGCCCACACCCCAGCTAGGGGCGGGGAAGCTGGGGTTCTCAGCTGCAAAGCTTTGTCAGAAGAGAAGCCTAGGGGCCAGCGAGAAGACTTAGCAGGCAAGCCTGACATCCTGAGTTCTATCCCTGGGACCCACATGGTGGGGGGGAGGTGGAACATCCTGCAGGCTGACCTCTGACCTCTATACATTTGATCTGCCTTCCCCAACATGGATCCAGAGAGGGAGGAAATGGAGTGGGAGAAGCCCAGCTGGGTCTGCTCTCCTCAGTATGACAGGATTAGAAGTAGGCAGGCACGGCACACATCAGGAGGCCCCAGAGCTTGAGGTGGGGGTGAAGACAGGGCACGAGATGTTGACCCTGCCTGTATGGTGGCCCTGCTGATGTCAGGCCTGACGAAGGCCTGTTCTGGAGTTGTAGCAGATCTGTGATCCTTCCCCCAGAGACAGTGCCAGCGCCCTTGTCAAGGGCTTTCCCCTGGTACGGACTGTTCCTCTATGTTACCCCAACCCAGAAACCCACCATCTCAGGAGCTCTGCTGATGGGAGGAACCAGAACTTCCTTCCTCCTGCTGTGACCCCTTAGATTCTGCTTGGCTGGGGCTTGGGCTACAGTGGGTCCCTCTTCGTACCTATCTGTTCAATGCCCAACTTCTAGGTCAGTGTCCCCCTCCCTCTGGCTCTCTTCCCCCCACTCCATGTCTTTTGTGGGGACGGGGTCTTGACCTGAATTCATATCTGATCATCCTGCCTCAGCCTCCTAGTACTGAGATGTGTCCCTGGCTCAGCTTCTGAGTCTTGAGGCGACTTACCGTGGCCGTGATTCCTTCCCTCACGAGTTCATGCACAGTTAGAATTTGCCAGGCATCAATATTGCTTTCATCTTTTTCAAGGATTCTGGAATAGGAGGAGAAGTGACGTGAACGGACAGTGTTCACAGCTCAGCTAGGATGGGCTATTAGAAACATCGGATTTCCTTCGAACAGCCGTCCCTCTTTATTTTTAATGATTTTGTAATTTTATGAATTTGTGCATGACTGTTTGGTCCTCTGTATGTGCCACCACACTTAGTTCAGGGTTACTCAAATTAACAGACAGGATTGCAGTGTGAATGGGGGCAGCCAACACTGAAAGAGGTCTAGCCAGGGCTAATGATTCGGAAAGCACTGGGCCCAAGGCAGGAGCTCTTGCTGTTTTTCTGTTTGGAAGCCGAAACCACAAAGCAAAGCAAAACAACTTTAAGATGGCTCAGGGGGCAAAGGCAATTGCCACGCAAGAGGGGCTTATCCTTCGTCCCCAGGACCCACGTAGAGGGTGGGAGGAGAGAACCAGCTCCATATTACTGTCCTCTGACCTCCACACCTGCCATGGAACATGTGAGTACACACACACGAGAGAGAGAGAGAGAGAGAGAGAGAGAGAGAGAGAGAGAGACAGAGAGAGACAGAGAGAGAGACAGAGACAGAGACAGAGAGACACAGAGAGACAGAGAGACACAGAGAGAGACAGAGACAGAGAGACAGAGACAGAGAGAGACAAAGAGAGACAGAGAGAGACAAAGAGAGACAGAGAGAGACAGAGAGAGAGAGAGAGACTGAGATTACTTCAAGAGCAACAGTGTTCTTAAACTCCAAGTCATTTCTCCAGCCCCTCATCGCATAGTTTTTAAAAAATGAAATTGAGGGGCTGGAGCAATGGCTCAGAGGTTAAGAGCACTGACTGCTCTTCCAGAGGTCCTGAGTTCAATTCCCAGCAACCACATGGTGGCTCACAACCATCTGTAACAAGATCTGGTGCCCTCTTCTGGCCTGCAGGCATACATGCTGTATACATAATAAATAAATAAATCTTTAAAAAAAAAAAAAAAAAAAAAAAAGCCGGGTGGTGGTGGCGCACGCCTTTAATCCCAGCACTCGGGAGGCAGAGGCAGGCGGATCTCTGTGAGTTCAAGGCCAGCCTGGGCTACCGAGTGAGTTCCAGGAAAGGCACAAAGCTACACAGAGAAACCCTGTCTCGAAAAACCAAAAAAAAAAAAAAAAAAAAAAAAAAATGAAATTGAAGGGCTGGAGGGATGGCTGGGTGGTTTGGGACACGGACTGCTTTTGCAGAGGACCTAAATTTGATTCCCAGCACCCACATAGTGGCTCACAACCATCTGTAACTCTAGTTCCAGGGGATCTGATGCGCGCCTTTGACCTCTGGCACCAGGCATGCGGGAGTACACAGACAAAACACCTGGACACATAAAATAAAATGATCAGGACACAAGAACAGCCGCCCTGGTGGCACCTGCCTGCTGCTCCTCACAGCAGCTGCTCCTCACGCTGTCCCTTGTCTCATTTTGGTGGCTCTGTCTGCACATGGCCTGCAGCTTTGTCCCTTCCTCACTCCTGTACCAGGCTTTCTTTTGGGGCCACCAACCAGCTCCCCAGTTAGACATGCGGACTCCTTATTCGTTATGGATGCTCGGCCTTATCTTAGCTCTTATTTTGACCTGTTTCTCTTCATCTACGTCTTGCCTGGGGCTTTTCACCCTGCTTTCTTTGTGTATATCTTACATTTCATGTCTGGCTGGCAGCTGCCTGGCTCAGGTGTGTCCCCCTCTTTTCTCTCCTTCTTCTCACGTTCCTCAATTTCTCCTCCCTCCTCTCCTCTTGCCCCGCCAGCCCTGCCTAGCTATCGGCTGTTCAACTTTTTATTAGAGCGATCAGGTGCCTCAGGCAGCAACACATCTTTTCATAATTAAACAAATTCAACACACACAAATATAACACACCTTTGCACGGTTAAAGTAATATTCTGCAGCATAAACAAATGCAACATTTCTTTGTCTAGTTAAAATATTCCACAGCACACTCCAGTCAGGACCCAGGAAGATGCAATGAGTTGCTGCCCTCATCCCTCTGTCCTCCAAGCCGACCCTGTCACTATTCACGGCTCCTCTGTCTCTTCCTTGCCCCCTCCAGGGAAATGGGAGCTACTTTTGAGGGAGAGGCAGGACGACATTGAGTTCAAGTACAGTCTGAGCTTCATTGTGATCCTTGTCTCAAAAAACAGAAAACCTGAATTTAGAGAGAAGGCTCAGCAGGTAACGGCCGAGAGCAAGCCTGGGGACTTGCCTTCGATCCCTGGACCCATATGGTGGGAGGGGAGAACCAGCTCCTGGAAGCTCTCCTCTGACCTCTGCACACACATTTGTGATGATGATGATAATAAATAAGCAAATAAAAATTAAAAGAAAAACCAAGCCAAGTGTGAAGGCTCACCAGTGTATTTCCAGCACTTGGGAGGCCGAGGCAGGAGGATTGCCATAGGTTTGAGGCCAGCTTGTGCTACATGGTAAGTTTCAGAACAACCTAGACCACAGAGTAAGATTCTTTCTCAGACCCAAACCAAACCAAACCTCCCTGAAAAACAGGTCAGTCATGGTGGCTTAAGCCTATAATCATAGCTACTTGGGAGGCTGAGGCAGGAGGATCACAGATCACAGGAGAATCTGCCTAGGCTTCAGAATGAGATCAAATAAGATTTTGCAAGAGCTGAGACTGTAGTTCTGTGGTGGAGTATTTCTGTAGCTTCAGCGAGGCCCTAGTTCCATCCCTAGCACCCCAGAATACCCGAAAGGGAGGCAGCCTGGCAGGCAGCATTTCCCTCACCTGAGTGCGGTCTCTATGGTCTGGTCCCAATCTTGCCGGGCCAGGAACAGTCTCATCTTCAGAACTAAGGCGGGCAGGAAGTTCCCTGAGGCCGTAGTGACCTGGTTCACCACCTCCAGGGCCCTGGAGAAGTTCTGCTGGGTCATGAAGTATGTTGCCTGTCGGGAGCCAGAGAGAAGAGCCCCCACCAGTGACGAAGGGGCAGGTTCAACATCAGGGGCTGGGGGTCAGGATGGGCAGCCCAGATCCTTCTGGCCGGGCCTATAGGCCAAAGGCCCAGAGTTTAACTGTGGGGTCTACCTGCCAGGTAGCCAGCTGGGGAGCTGTTTACTCTATGTGACTGGGGATCATGGTCTCTGCAGCCCTGTGTTGGTCACTGTTCCCCTGGGGTGTCCCGCTAGCAGCTTTGAGGGCCAGAGCAGGACTTCCAAAAAGCCTTGGGGGCTGGGGTGTAGCTCAAGTGGTAGAACACTTGCTTAGCCTGCATGAACCCCTGGGTTCTATCCAGACATGGTGGTGTGTCCCATCATGCCCCCCCTTTCCTTCTGTGATTTAAGGATTATGTAGTCATTTTGTAAGGACAGACAGACACACAGAAAGATAGTAAGAGAGCAGTTTTCTTCTCTCAAAGATGGAATCAATGAGGATCACAAAAAAAAAAAAAAAGAATTTCATTCAAATTAAGATCAGAAAATGCAAAACATGCAAAGTGTATGCCTCCCTTTTCCTGTGGCCATTGAGTAACTTTAACAAGTGGGAGGAGATTGGGGGGGATGGGAGGAGTAAAAGTCAGAGGTAGAAGAGGCAAAGAGGGAGGTGACCCAACCCAGCCCCAGCAGAACGAGGAAGTGCTGCCCGGCTACTCCCACGGCTCCTCAGACCAGGAACTCAAGGCTAGCCTGAGCTACGTCGTGAGTCCAAGGCCAGCCTTGGATACATGAGAGCCTATCTCAAAACACCAAACAGGGACCAGGGATGCAGCTCAGTGGCAGAGTGCTTGCCTAGCGTGCAAAGCCCTGGGCCCAACTCCTCAGCATTCAAAACAATACCCAACAGATTGAGAAGGATGTTCACACAAAGCAGGGAGGAGTGGGCTCTGGACTGGTGGACCTGAGTTCCCCGGCAGACCCCTGGCTCCAGGGAAGCAGCCAAACTCCCCCACTTCCCCTGCCCACCTTGCCCATCAGCCCCAGCACATCTTTGGTGTCCTGAGTCCCTTGTTCCAGGTACTTGATGGATTTCTTCACAACATGGGGCTTATTGGAAGTGAGGTCCACCCAGCCTCTGAGCACGTAGCCCTGGGATGAGAACGAGAAGAAAGGTCCTGGGTCAGGCTCAACCCAAGCTAGCTCATGTCCTGCTCTCTGCCATCTCCACATCGCCGGTGGCATCACCTCGTGCAGATCCCAGCGGGCTATCTCCTCTACCAGGTGGTCTCTCCTGCCTTCATTGCCTGTGACACCCTCACCTTCCAAATCAGGCCTCATACATCTCACAAGGACTTGGTTACAGTTTAGCCTGGCAGCTCCCCCACAGGGGCCTCCCTTTCTTGCTCCCCATATCCCCACAGCTCTCCATGACTCCTCTCAGGCCTCTTCCCTGTATCACTGGGGGACTAGTCATTGCAGTCAGGTTAACAGTCCTGGGGCTCGGGCAGGGCTGCTCTCGGCCTCTTCCAGTTACAGTGAGGGCCAGGCCTGGGAAGCATCTCTGGAGGAGAGGGGTGCTGCCTTGAGCACCCCTTCATAGTCCAGCCCAGTGTTTCTCTTTTCTTCCCTGACCGCTCCCCCAAGGAGACAATGCCTCCCTCTAGATATGTGTACAGTACATATCTGTTTTAGACACGTCAATTTTCACCCCTTCCCATGGACAAATGTTTACACTCTTGAACATTGCCATGAGGCTTTCCGAGAATGCACAGTCCAAATGGGCTTCTAATCCCAGCATCAGCACCAACATGAGGTACTGACCACTCAGATCCATCAGGACCGTGCAGGAGAGCAGGGCTCAGTGTGATTGACAGCTCACTTGGGTTTTCCAAAGAACCAGGGAACCCGAACTTTCAGGTAGACCCTTCTGACTTCTTTCATTTTGAGACAGTCTTGCCCTATATCCCAGACTGGCCTCTTGCTCCTGATCCTCCTGCCTCAGCCTCCCAGGTGCTAGAATGACAGGCATGTGCTACCATCACACCGTGCCTGCTTGCCTAGTTAAATCTAATGATTTCTCTAAAATGCTCTATTACATTTATGTATGTATATCTGTATGTATGTAGTGTGTGTATGTGTGTGCACATGTGTGCACACATGTGCCACCATATGGGTTCTAGAGGTCATCAAGCTTGACGGTAAATGCCTTTACCTACTGAGCCATCTTGTCTGCCAAATCGTCTGATTTTTTACATGTCAGCAACAAATTCAAGATGTTTAGAGAATACCATGGCAGAAGATGCTCAAGAGATGGCTTGGCGGTTAAAAGCATTGCCTGCTCTTCTAGAGGACCCTGGTTTGAGTCCCAGCACCCACACGGCAGCTCACAGCCATCTGTAACTCTAGTTGCAGGCGTCTATCATGCATGTGGTATACAGACATAAATGTGGGCAAAACACCCATACACATAAAAAAATAAGTTCAACAAAGAATCTAAAAACAGTTATATTGGGATGGGTATGTATGGTAGAGTGCCTGCCCTGGGTTCCACCTCCAGCATTGAGTAAGTGCACGCCTGTGATTTCAGCACTCTGGAGGCGGAGGCAGGAGGAACAGAAGAAGTTCAAGGCCATCCTTGGCTACAGGGTGAACTACATGCAACCTTGTCGAGCTGCAGAACCCAGGCTTTGAGTACAACAGCTGTTATCACCATCATCAGAAGCAGCTGTGGGCACCCACAAGCCCTCTCAAGAGCAGGCTGCTGTTGTTCCCTCGCAGGAGGAGCTGGCAGGATCATGTAGCCCAGCCTGCACCTCACTGCTAGGTATATGTAATTTTGCCCTGATGGCAGGTTGCCTCCGAGGTGCTAAGGTACATGTGGGGGAGGGGTGGTCCTTTCGAGAGAGACTCCCTCTGTGCAGCTATGGGGAAGTGGTCATTCAGGCTGAAGTGAGGTTGTTTTGGCTTGTGTGGCTGCTTTGGGGTCAAGCCCAATAGACTCATTGGACTTTAGAGTAATTGTACTTTGGTTTGTCCTTGATGTCCTCTTTGGGGTAAGCATGTGCTTGTTTGTGTCTCTCAGGAAAAGTTTATGCAATAGACACTGTCCAAAAAAAAAAAAAAAAAAAAAAAAAAAAGAAGAGGTAGGCCATACAAAAGCAGTCTAGAGGACTGTGGACACTGCACAAATGTATTGTGGTTTTAGACAAGGTATAAATGTGACACCCCATGCCTGGATGTGGCCCTAATCCCAGGGCTCTCTGGGAGTGATCCCACTATGATGCATTTGGTGGCTGCTTTGCTTGGCTGTGGCCCTGAGATGCTCCTGTACCTCTTTGGAGCCACTGCAGACCTTCAGCATGTGGTCAACGTATTCTCTGGCCTTGTCATGGCGGTCTACGAGCCAGAGGAAGAGGCCGGCATAGTACAGGGCAGTATCACTGGCCGTCTTGCGGATCTCCTTCAAGCTACTCTCCAACTCTTGAACTGCTTCTTCATCTAAATCCACAAGAAGAAGAGGCTGAGTGAGGACCAGGTGGTTCTTGTCTGATGCAGTGTATCATTCTTTGCACCAGCAACGCCTGCCCCACGGGAGCTGTGTACACATGGGCTCAGTTTACTGTCTGGGAGGCACTCCCCCATCCCATGTTCATCAGTGTGCTGAGCAGATGGACTGAACCTGAATCCCTAACTGAGGCCCACGGCCCATCCTGAGTGAGAGATGGGAGTCTACATTGGCACCTCTCTCTGACTCCCTAGAAACTGAGATTAGGAGCACAATTATTTAGAATGGTTGAGTTTATGCTTTCAAACACTTGGTCTGGAGGGTGACCCCTTCGGTCATGCTTTTTGCCTGCTTCCTTTCAGGTGGTTTCAGGCATCGGGTCTTCTCTGAGGCCTGTGGGGTGAGGATGAGGGATAGCCTGTCTTGGCTGGAATCTGGAACAGCAGATTCAAGTTGCCTGTGCACACCCCTTCTTCAATAGCTCTCAAGGGGCTATGTCTCGGCAGTGGCTTTTTGTCCCCTAGGGGCCCAGTCCACTAAGCATAGCTGCACTCACCAATGATGTCACAGCATTTGTGAGCATAAAGCAGAGCGATGACAGAGCATAGGGCCATATCTGGGTGGCTTTGGATGCTCTCCAGCTCACTGATGGCATCATGGATATGGTCTGTAGAAAGAATGTACACAGTTCTGCTCTGGGGTCCCAGACAGACAACATGGGACCCCTGTTAGGCATCACCAGCTTTCACACACAGAATCTAGGGACAAACTGATTTGAAAGGTCCCCAAAAGCCTGTACTTCCTGGAGGGTGAAGTTCTCTGAAGGCTGTTGGCTCTGTGTCTAGGCTGGCAAGGGGAGGTCTGTGTGTGTGCCTGTGTATGGAGGTCAGAGGATGGCCTCAGGTGGTTTTCTGTTGTCTGCTTGTTTTGTTTTTCGAGACAAGGTTTCTCTGTGTAGCCCTGGCTGTCCCAGAACTCTCTCTGTAGACCAAGTTGGCCTCCAACTCACAGAGATCCGCCTGCCTCTGCCTCCTGAGTGCTGGGATCAAAGGCGTGCGCCACCACCGCCCGGCTCCAGCCCCCACTTTTGTATTTTGTTTTGAGAAAGGCTCTCACGTTTGTCAGGTGGCTGGGGACTTGATAGGTAATGTAGTCTAAAATAACAGACAGTGAACTCCCCGACCCTCCTGCTTCCACCTCAGAAGAGCTAGGACAACAAAGGTGCACCACTGCACCCAGCCCACGGGCTGGGCTAAGAATCTTAGAGGTGTGCCCCAGAATGAGCCTGGGAACTCTGGAGGGGCTGGAGTCAGTTCTGAGGAGGGACAGGGCATTCTCAGCCAGTTGCTCAAGACCCACCAATGACATTTATCCTGAATGTCCCCAGCACTGGCCACAGGCTGCTCAGACAGTTCTCAGCACCTGGCTCTGTAAGTCCCACCCTCTTACGTCTACGCCCCACTTTCCTGTGCTCATACTTCTCACTTCTCCTTTCCCAAAGATCCAGCTCCCTGCTTCCAAGCCTGAGGAGAGTTCAACAGTCATGTAGCCCTCTCTCTCACAACTCATTTTGCAGATAGGGAAACTGAGGCTCATGGCTGGTATAGTGAGCTAAGATCTCAAAATTCAACCTGATTATAGACTTCACAGGTTTCTGATTATCAACGGGACTCCGCAGTCAGTATGAGGCCATTTCCATAGGAACGTAGCTAGACGTAGGCATCCGGATGCTGCCAGAGGGTAAGGACTAAGGGTGGTACCCGGCATCAGAATAACGCCTTACCTTCCCCAAGGGCTCCATAAGCTTTGAAGAACTGCAGCACAGGGTCATTGCTGTACCTCTCTAAGCCCACACTCGCAGCCTGCTGCACGTGGTGGAAGTACTTTTCCTGGCTGTAGTAAATGATCGAAGCCTGTGTGAGGAAGACATGGTTGTAATGCCCCCGTCCCTCCGTCTCTGTTCTGACCCAGACAGAGTGAGACGTGCTCCCTGTGGAGGTGCCATGCCTGTTCTCAGTTCTACACTCAGGAAGGGAAAGGCAACATTCAGACCTTGTCTTCTTCTTCAGCAGCCTGGGAGTAGCTCCAGGCAGTTTTCCTGGGGCAGAGTTTTTAGGTGATTGGGGGATGGCAATAGATTCTGGTAAAGATGTGATGTAAACTTCAACTCAGGCTTGTCATGGGAGGAGAAGGAAGAGGAGCAATGTTTGGAACAATTAGAGCAACAGTTGTGTGACAAGCTAGGGACCGTTATCATGGGCTCTACGTCCATCATCAGACACGTGTTCCTCTTTGTGTCTTTCACAGTCAAAGAGGCTGAAGCCCAGGGAGATTTAGCTCCAGAGAGATCACACAATAATTGGGCTAAGATTTCAAAACCAAGTCTCACTTCCTCTAAGGTTTGTGGGTGCTGAATTGGGGATAGATGTGGTTGGGTCGTAAAAGCCTCATGGGCCATTTGAAAAAGCCTAGACATCATCTCAGGGTAACAAACAGGAAGCAGTTGGGATGGTTTTTAAAACTGTTTTGACAGAGTCTCATTTTGACAGACTGGCGTCAGCCTCCACTAGATAGCTATGGGTGATGTTGAACTCCTGACTCCCTTCCTCCCCTCTCAGGTGCTGGGTTTACAAGCAAGTACCATCAGATCTGTTTTATATGGCACTAGGGATCAAATCCAGGCTTGGTGCATACTCTAGGAACTGGACTACATCCCCAGTCACCTCAAATGTATGTATTCTAAAGAAAAGACTCTGGCCGTCGTGTGCGGTTGCAGGTGGTATGTGGTGGTGAAAAGAGCCAACGTAGGGAAACCATGGGGGGGCATGGTGGCTCTGGCTTAGGAAATAAACCAAGTAGGTGAACCTTGGAGACATTTGGAAGCTTGTTGAGTTAGGGCTAGGGTTGGGAGGTGGGCATAGAAGAGAGTTACAGCTCATAGCATCTACTGAGATGGGGACGCAGAAGAGGCTTGGGTGGGAGGCTAAGAGGAAGATAAGACACAGTGATGGATATGGGTTTAGTCTGAGGGAGCACAGGGGGATAGGGTCAGGTCAGGGAGCTAATTTGAGGTTGGGGTGCAGAGGACACAGGAAGCGATGCATTGGCTAAGGAGTTGGGGAAGACGGAAGGACTTCTTGATGCTGCTGGAGTAGTGGACAGAGGGGTAGAGGTGGTTAGGGGTGAAAGTGTCCCAAGAGTATAGAGATGGCCTGAAGGTAGCAGGGTGGGTAGTCAGGCAGAGGTGGCGCCAGAGCAGAAATGGCCAGAGGGTACAGAGGTGGCGCCAGAGCAGAAATGGCCAGAGGGTACAGAGGTGGCGCCAGAGCAGAAATGGCCAGAGGGTACAGAGGTGGCCCCAGAGCAGAAATGGCCAGAGGGTACAGAGGTGGCGCCAGAGCAGAAATGGCCAGAGAGCAGAGAGCCCAGGGCAGAGCTGTCCTGGCAACAGAAGTAGCCCGGACACAGGCGGCCCAGCGCTCACGCACCATGAGGGAGGAGTCATCGCTGCTCATCGCTGCAGCCCGGCCTAGGTGATGCCCGGCTGGCTCTGGCTGCCCAACTCGCCGCCCGGCTCACTGCCGGAAGTCCGAGGCTCTCGCGTCCTTGGCAACCTGGCAGCCGGCCTGTTGCTAAGAGCCGTGACATCCGGGAGGGCGTGGCCTGGCCACACGTGACCAAGCCACGCAGCGGAGGGAGAGGGCGGCCATGGGGCTGGGGGCAAGCACCCAGCAGCCGGCGGGCGGCGAGGGCTTCCACCTGCACGGGGTGAGCCGCTGAACCGGGGCGGCGGGCGGGCATCGGGGAGGGTTACACGGCTCTGGGGGCCCGCGGTGACCTCCTTGCCAGCTTGAGTAGGCTCAGCGCACACAAGACCCGAAGTCCCTTGTGTGAGGCGCAGTGCAAGGGGCTGGAGGAGCTCGAGGGCTTTGGGAAGGCTGCAGCGGGGTGAGGTGGCCATAATGAGTGGAGCCAGGGTGGGCACTGGGACCCCAGAGTGAAACATCCCGAGACTTGGGTGAGGCCTTACGTGTCACTTGCAGGGAGGTATGAGCGAGCGAACAGGCTTCTGGGAAGTAGAGACAAAGTCGTTCATAGCCTGGTTGATAAAGAGGTGGGGGAATATGGGATTGGGGATAGGAAGGGCTTTGGACACAGCCCCCTGGCTATTCCTCCTTGAAAAGTGGGTAGATGCAGAGCTGTGTGGAGGCAGGCAGGTTTATCAGGTTGGCGCCTGGCTGTTTACAGGTCAGCCTGCCTGCCTTCCTGCCGTCAGACAGGATCTTATATGTAGCTCAAGCTGGTCTCAAACTCTCAGTTGCCCTCCTTTCTCAGCCTCTTTTAAACTGTATTTATTTATTTATTTTTTTTGAGATGGTCTCACTATGTAGCCCTGACTGGCCTGGAACTTGCTACATAGACCATGCTTCTCTGGTCTATGTCAAAGGAAGGCTGGCATTGGGCTAAGAAATGGTTCCTAGCAGGAAAGCCACGTTGGCTTTGCAGACCAGAGGTGACGAGATTTGAGCCTGGGGGTTGGCAGACTTTGGAATGCATCCTCCCGAGAGTGTTTTAAAGCATATTTGCACAAGGGGTGTGGGAGGTGAGGTCGTGGTACGAGTGAAGGCAAGAAGGGCTTGTTGAAGGGGACGGGTCAGAGGATGAGAGTCCTTCACAGAGATGTAGTTTTACTCTGTGTGTGTGTGTGTGTGTGTGTGTGTGTGTGTGTGTGTGTGTGCGCGCGCGCGCGTGTGTGCGTGTGCGCGTCTCACCCACGAGTGAGGGTGCCTGCAGAAGTCAAAGGCTTCAGATCCCTTCAAGTTGGAGTTACAGGCATTTGGGAGCTGCCCCATATGCATGCTGGGAACTGAACCCAGGTCCTCTGAAAGAGCAGTATGCTCTTTTAACTCCTGACCTGTCTCTCCAGTCCCTGTTTTGTTTTTTGATATAGGATCTCTTGTAGCCAAGGATGGCCTTACTCCGTATCCTCCTGCCTCCAGCTCCCGAGCACTAGTGTTCCTGGCTGTAGACGTGTTTTTGAACATATGCTGTATGGCAGGCGGAGCTTCAGGCACTGAGAAAACATGGAAAACAGTACAGTATGGAGAGAAGGAAGGCCAGAAAGAGCTGTGTGTAATGGGTGTGATGGCTCACATCTGCTGGTGTGCAGAGGTAAAGGCAGGAAGACTCCAAGTTCGAGGACAGTCTGTGTTATACATCAAGACTCTTAGCTCAGAAACAGACACCGTGGGCTGAAGAGATGACTCAGCAGCTAAGAACACTTGCCTTCTGGACAGCCCAGGTTCAGTTCCTGGCGCTGTGTGTCTGTGTGTGTATGCACAAGCAAAAGTAACTACACCGAGTTGTTCACATCTGCCTGTAACTTCAGCTCCAGGGTATCCAAAGTCTTCTGGCTTCCACAAGCATACACACACACCTGGCATCTTCATACACTGGTGTACAGGCACGTGCTTGTGCACGCACATACACACACACACACAAAATTCTTAAACATACAAATAAATATGTGCTACATGGTAACAAGAAAAGTAACATAGGTTACTATGTTAGCTAGCAAGAAAAGTAACATAGGTTAAGGGGATGAAGAGTGATACCCGGATGGGTCTGGTCAAGAAAGATGTCTGCTCAGTGTCTGAGCAGAAAGATGTGTGCTCAGTGTTTGAGCAGACTCCCGGAAGCAGAGTGGAGGGAGGAGCAGCGGGAGGTGGGTGGTGGGTTCTACCAGCCTGTCAGAGAAATTGCCACCAAGCCAGGCTGGTGTGCAGGGTGGTGTGGCCGCCGTCAGGAGAGTGTGGAGGATGAGGCTGGGCATGCAGGACCTTCCATGTTGTCCCGATGACTTGGAGAGCTTTTGGTTTTGCGGTGCTGGTGATCCAACCTGGGCCTCCTGGATGCAGGGGATCAACCTGGGCCTCCTGGATGCTGGGGATCCAACCTGGGCCTCCTGGATGCTGGGGATCCAACCTGGGCCTCCTGGATGCAGGGGATCTAACCTGGGCCTCCTGGATGCAGGGGATCAACCTGGGCCTCCTGGATGCAGGGGAACCAACCTGGGCCTCCTGGATGCAGGGGATCAACCTGGGCCTCCTGGATGCAGGGGATCCAACCTGGGCCTCCTAGATGCAGGGGATCCTTCCCCAGGTCCTGAGACTTGATATTTTATTTGGAGATACTGTCTGTAGCATTTGTTGTTGTTGTTGTTTTGTTTTGTTTTTTGTTTTTCAAGACAGGGTTTCTCTTGGTACCTGTCCTGGATCTCACTCTGTAGACCAGGCTGGCCTCAAACTCACAGAGATCCGCCTGCCTCTGCCTCCTAAGTGCTGAGATTTAAGGCGTGTGCCACCACCGCCTGGCCTGTCTGTAGAATTTTTGTTGTTTAAGATTTTATTTATTTATTAGATTTATTATTTATGTGTAAGAATGTTTTGTGTACAGGTATGTTTGTGCCTGGTACCCACAGAGGCCTTGGAATTGGAGTCATGGATGGTTGAGAACCACCCTGTGGGTGCTGGAACTGAACCCAGGTCCTCTACACGAGCAACAAGTGCTCTTGACCACTGAGCCACCTCTCCAGCTCCTCTCAGAAGATTTTAAGTGGAAGGATGACATTATCTACACACACACACACACACACACACACACACACACACTTTTAAAGGGCTTTTTACACTTACATTTGAGTGTGTACATATGCATGTATGAAATGGCATGTATATGTGGAGGTCAGTGGAATTGGTTCTCTCTGTCCACCATTTGGGTTCCAGGTTTGGCATCAAGTGTCTTCACCTGCTGAGCCATCCCACCAGTCCCCTATTGCCGTGTGTGTGTGTGTGTGTGTGTGTGTGTGTGTGTGTGTGTGTGTACATATATATTTGTTTGTGTGTTTTGTTTTTTTGAGACAAGGTTTTTCTGTGTATCCCTGACTGTCCTGAAACTTGCTTTGTAGACCAGGTTGGCCTTGAACTCACGGAGATCCACCTGCCTCTGCCTTGTGAGTTTTGGGATTAAGGACGTGTGCCACCGCTGCTTGGCTGCCATTTACTTATATTTTTAAGAGCCAAAGAACAAGGGAGCTAAATTGTCTGAATTTTGTCATTGCCAATCTTCTCAGGCACATTGGTGATGCCCTTGCCCTCGGCACTCAGGGAATGTGCAGTAGTGGAGGAGTTACACACACAGAACATGCTGTTGTAATCAGGTTGCATTTTCTCAGATCAGATGGCTATGTTACAGAGCTGCTTTTCTCATGTAGAAATTGGAACAGTGAAACGGCCTACAGATTGCTTAAAGCATAGGAGGCGTTAGCATCTGGGTGCTTGGCACCCAGCCACTGTCTCGAGTCTGTCCCAGTTCATTCCATAGGGTCCTTGGCTGGAGGGAAGGTGTGGGGTTAGGAAAAGCTGAGCATGCTCTAGGCTTCGGGGGTGGTGTGCATCGGGAGTTGTCAGGGAGAGCAGGGTGGAAGGGCAGTGGGTTTTGTAGGAATAAGGTACATTGGGCAACAGCTTAGATCATTTCAGCTGTTGGAGCTCTAATGGGCAGTGTAGACAGTGTAGAGGACAGATCCACAGGCCTGAGTAGGTGGAGGTCGTAGATGGCCAGGGGGACCAGAGCTTCCAGACCTCATTAACGATGGTGGGTTGCTGACACCAGGCGAAGGAGGTGACACTTGCCTCTTAGGAGCAAAGTGGCCTTGGGTAACAAGGGAGTTGGGGTGGTTTGGAAGAGGTCCTGCTTTGGAGGACCCCCCACCCTCTAACATATCCTAGTCCTGTGGTCTTCAAAAGCCTCTAGAGCAGTGGTTCACAACCTGTGGGTCGTGTCCCCTCCAGGGGTGGAATGACCCTTCACAGGGGTCACTAAGACCATCAGAAAACAGGTATTTACATTATGATTCATAACAGTAACAAAATCACAGTTAGGAAATAGCAGTGAAAGTAATTTTATGGCTGGGTGTCACCACAACATGAGGAACTGTATTAAAGGGTCTCAGTGTTAGGAAGGTTGAGAACCATGGTCTAATAGGGACAGAGGGCAGGTCTCAGAGCCCCTGAAGTAGGGCTCCCAGAGGGATGGAACAGGACTTGAAGTCCCCAGACAGGCCAAGAACAGCTTGCCCTAGGGGATGGGCCAGCAACCAACATGGGCCTACTCCCATTGGTGGCTGTGGCAGCTCCAGGAGGTGGCACTCAGGGACTCAGTTGGTGCTACTGTTAGGAGGGAGTTGTCCTATCAGGGCCAAACTGTCCTTGAACTAGAGACACCTCAGCACTTTGTTCTCATCAGGCTCCTGAAAAGTTCTTCATCTTGGGGAATCCAATGGAGGCACCAAGGATCTGAAGTCACATGAGTCCTGTGTTCTGTAACCTGGATTGTTACCTTGGGGCCTGGCTGATGCCTGGCCCAAGAAGTAATCAAGTGTTCCTAGTAAAAGGCTTGAGCCAAAGGCCTAGGTGCATCTTTAGGGTTCAGGACTTGGGGACAAAGGCTGCATTGTTTGAGCAAGACACTGTAGATGGGGCTTGCCATGTGTCCTGGGTACAGCTTGTGATGTGTCCTGGGAACAGCTTATGATGGGGAGCTTGAGATGTGTCTTGGGCACAGTGTGTGATGTGTC